GGAGAAAAGATGATGATGATGAGGAGGATGATTTCGAAAGGTAAACAATAATATTATTAATAATAGGAGTAACAAATAATAAAAATGACAGTTTTTAAGCAAACATTTTGTTGTGTGCTGTTGATTGACAACATGCAATAAAATCTGAACCAAATCAAGAGAAAGAGAGAGAAAAAGAGGAAAATATGAAAGAGAGAGAGGGAGAGAGAGAGAGAGATGGGAGAAAAAAGTGAGAAAAGAAGAGTACATACTGAGTAAAGCAAACACATCTAGTAGCGAGATAGGATTCAAAAGATATATTTGTAAAAGTTTGAAATTTTGTTCTATTCAATCTTTCCTTCGTTCATTCGTCTGTTCATTTGTTCGTTCGATAATTAATTAATTCATTCATTTATTCGTTCGTTCGGTCGTTTTTTCGTTCATTCATTCATTCATTCATTCATTCATTCATTCATTCATTCATTCATTCATTCATTCATTCATTCATTCATTCATTCATTCATTTATTCATTCATTCATTCATTTATTCATTCATTCATTCATTCATTCATTCATTCATTCATTCATTCATTCATTCATTCATTCATTCATTCATTCATTCATTGTTTGTTTCTTGTTTGTTTGATTGGTTCATTGATTCATTCGTTCGCTCGTTTGTTCGTTCGTTCATTCGTTCGTTCGTTCGATCGTTCACTCATTCGCTTATTCATCTAATCTATCTTTCGCTCAATATTTATTACGTCTTTTAAAACGGTCTGTTAGCTCATATCTGTGTTATCTGTGTGTGTGTGTGTGTGTGTGCGTGTGCGTGTCTGTTGTATGTGTGTGTTCATATGTGTAAAACTCCCGACTAATATGATTGACATTTGATTGACTGAAGTAATGTCGCAAATGTTGTTGTTGATGTTGTTGAAGATGTTGTGGCTGTTGTTGTTGTTGAAGTTGCTGTTGTTGTTGAAGTTGATATTGTTGTTGTTGCTGTTGTTGTTAAAGTTGATATTGTTGTCGATGTTGCTGTTGATGATGCTGTTGTTGTTTATGTTGTTGCTGTTGTTGTTGTCGTTGTTGTTGTTGATGATGTTGTTTGTTGTCGTCGTTGAGGATGTTGTTGTTGTCGTTGTTGTTGTCGTTGTTGCTGTTTTTGATGCTATCGCGTTTACATTGATCAGGCAGTTTGCAAATCAATTTCTTACCTTATTTTTATCTGCTTACTTGCTTAAGAGAGGAAAATATATACAATGACGATATATACAACAACAACAACAACAAAAACCAAAAACAACAACAACAACAACAACAATGAATAGCGTGTAACTATAACAGAAACAAATAATCATCATCATCATCGTTGTCTTCTTCTTCATCATCATCATCGCGAGAGATTAAAGCTAATTCTATTATATTAATGTAACAAAATATCACGTTGTGTGATTTCAAACTGTGTTTGGGCCTTGTCAAAACAAAATGAATGACTTGAAATGTTTTGTTGCGTGTGTGTGTTTGTGTCTGTGTTTGTCTGGGTCTGTGTGTTTGTCTATGTGTTTGTTTATATACTCGTGTGTGTGTTGTGTGTGTTTGTCTGTGTGTTTTTCTATATACGTATGTCTGTGTGCGTTTGTGTGTGTGTTTATCTGAATACGTGTGTGCGTGCGTGTAGTGTGTGTGTTTGTGTCCGTAAATTGGCATGGTAGCTCAGACGGTAGGAGTGCAGTGTCTTTGGCTGTACTTATTGTGCTCCTCCCTTGTTCGATTACTCCCTGTCTTTAATTTATAGACTATAAACACAACAACACAACAACAACAACGTAAAGAGTTTTGACAACAGTTTCCAAAACATTAGCAGCAGCAACAACAACATCAACAACAACAACATCAATGACAACAACAACGACGATCACTTCATCATCATCAATAACAACAACTGCTACTACATTATTATCATTGCTAAAAATAAAGTAATAAACCTGATCATAAATAGAAACATCTGAAGAAACCAACATAGTAGCAGTAGTAATAGAAGTAACAGTAGTAGAAGCAAGAGCAGCAGAAGTAGTAGCAGTAGCAGTAGTAGCAGCAGCAGCAGCAAATCTGTACTATTCATATTATAAAATGTTCATTGAAATAGAATGTTATATATTTTAAATTAATTTTCTATTTTTCCAAAATTCAAGTTAATCTAAAATTAAAATTTTTAACCAACAGCTCACTCGATACAAACAACAATCTCTCCATTGAATCTAACAACGACAATGACAGGTTTGTTGTGTGTGTGAGTGAGTGAGTGAGTGAGTGAGTGAGTGAGTGAGTGAGTGAGTGAGTGAGTGAGTGAGTGAGTGAGTGAGTGAGTGAGTGAGTGAGTGAGTGAGTGAGTGAGTGAGTGAGTGAGTGAGTGAGTGAGTGAGTGAGTGAGTGAGTGAGTGAGTGAGTGAGTGAGTGAGTGAGTGAGTGAGTGAGTGAGTGAGTGAGTGAGTGTGATATTTACACACGAGGAGATAATATTGACATTAATAAATGAATTTTAGCAAACATAACTCCTTCACTGACAACAACAACAACATCATCATCATCAAAATAACAACATCTTCAACAACAACATCAATATTATCAACATCATCGGCAGCAACAACAGCAATTTCAGCATAAACAACAACAACTACATCAACATCTACAACAACAACTTCAACAACAACAACATCAACAACAACATTCTCAGCATCATCAAAAACAACCACATTATCAGGTACAACAACGTCAGCAACAACAACAACATCAGTAGCAACAACAACAACAGCAGCAACAACAACATCAACAGCAGCAACATCAACAGCAACCACTGTAGCCACAACTAGTTAGCAAACAATGTTCCTTACAAGAAATAAATTTTTTTTTCAAAATAAATTATTAATATTACAATACAATTAATAATATTGTAATTTATTATAAATATAACCAATCAATTAATTAATCATTTAACCATAGCTATAAATGGTCTAGTGCCATTTAAAATGTGCATCATGATGAAGGATAGCCAGACAAAGAAGCACGAGCAAAAACACACACAGATACAATTAAACCACACAAACCTAGAAACAAGTGTTTAAAGGGGTTTGAAGTCTTACAAATATTTGAGTCCGTGCGATAGCGAAAATTTTTTCAATATTTCTGAACCTGGGAAAAATTTAACAGAAATTGAACCGGCATAAACGCGATTTGTAATAATAAATAATTATAATTGGTCATAATTAATTAATTAATTATTAAGATATAAATTTATTATATTATTTATCATATAATTATTATTGATAATTAATTAAATTTTACCCATAGCTGCCTGCCCACTGACAGATGTGACTCAATTTTACGAGTTCACCGATTACCAATCCAACACTCTTTCTAGCCAACCTTTTGTTCTGGACCCCGAAACTCCGACCTCGGAGATGATTTTATTACATTTTTCAAACGCCACACACACCGTGGATTTAGTTCAGTTGGAGTTCGCTGTATCCAACGCGGCAAACATAACAATGGTACTGGCTATGGGAGTCGACATCACCTTTCAATCCAGCGATCTATATGCCGCCTTCAACGACAACGTTCGTCTTTTATTTCTTGTTTGATGAGAGATTTCTGTGTAGAGTTAACTTTTTTTTTACCGATAAGAATAATTTTTGAAAAATTATTCGATGATCATGAGGCAAAAAATTAAAGTTGAGTGTATCGAAATGTCAAAAGGCTTTCAAACATACGCTGCCTACATTCTACGCTAACATGTATCATTGCATATGATTGGGTTGAAACGCGTGCACAATAAATAAACGCAACATAATTTTTTTTAAAACTTGACAACCTAAAATTAATTTCAATAAAAATTTACACAAATTTATTTCACCAGACAAAATCGGCCGTTTACATTTCAAATGGCAATTTTTCTTTCAACAATGTAGACATACTGTTCAAACTTGTTACAGTTGGAAGTCAAGTCATTGTCGACAAACTAAAAATTCTCACTTGTCTAACATCTGTCCGTCCAGTTTTCTGAGTTCTATCCATATGAGACGGAGGTAATGTAGTAATAAAGAGTAGTGGTCGCCGGAAGATGTTGCAGTTGTTGCTGTTGGTGTCGTGTTTAGACCTGGACATGTTGTTGTTGTTGTTGCTGCTGCTGCTGCTGCTGCTGCTTGTATTGTTTTGTTGGTGTTGTTGTTGCGGTTAGCCCTTGCCATAACTACAATTTTAGCTACTCATCTGTTTCATTCATATTAACATCAATGTATTTTAATTTAGTTTGAAGATTATTTTTGAAGGAATCATTAACAGTGAGTGAATGTATTATTTAACTTTATTTTAATTTTTATTTGGTTTGAGATTCTTTTTTTGGATAACTTAAATTAATATGAATGTTATTTTTGATGTTATAACATTAAATTTTATCTTTTTTTGGTTGAAAAATTTATTTCGGGATGACTAATAAAAAATTTTATTTCAAAATAATATGTCTCTCTCAATGAGAATGGTCTAATGTTTGTGCTAACTGATTCTACCATCGTAGTGCAAAGAAATCTCCTCATATCACATGTGCAATATATGTATATATGTGTGCGTGTGTGTGTGCGTGCGTGTGTGTGTGTGTGTGTGTGCAATGCGTAGATTCGTTTGTGTTAGTGTATAAATGTTTGTGTGTTTGTTTGTGTGTGTTTGTGTGTGCGTGTGTCTCTGTGTTTGTTTGTGTTTGTGTGTGTGTGTGTCTCTCTGTGTTTGTGTGTGTGTGGGTTTGTTTGTTGCTTTTCTTGATACTTCTAAGACTTTAGAAAAAGAGGATAAATAAATAATAATAATAATAATGATGATGGTGTTATCTGGGAACTCGCTGTAAAATATCTTAAAAATGTGGATTTTATAATATTTAAATACCGAAATAACGGTAAAATTCGTGTGAATTTGTTTGTTTTTGTTTGTTTGTGTGTTTGTGCGTAAGTGTTTGTGTGTGTTTGTTTGTGTGTCTGTGTGTTCGTTTGCGTGTATAAGTTAGGACAACTGAACGAGACAAATTTTTTGTATTAAAACATTTTTTTGAGAAAACACACAAATTTTAAAAATGTCCGTGTAAAATACATATATGCACATAAACAGGTGAATACATGTATGGATGTATGTATGCTATATCCAATACTTAAATGAATATCCAATATTCAATATCCAAGTATCCAAAACCATATATCCAAGACCAAGTATCCAAGACCAAGTATCCAAGACCAAGTATCCAAGACCAAGTACCCAAGACCAAGTATCCAAAACCAAGTATCCAAAATCAAGTATCCAATATCCAGTATCCAAAACTCAGTATCTTACATCCAATAGCCATAAAAACATGTGAAAATACTTGAAAAAATTTTATCGAAATTAATTTTGCGACATCTTAGCTAGTGTAGTTAGTATATACGTAGTACAGTCATACATTTTTTTCATTTTGGTACGGAGAATAAGTCAATAAAAAACAAAGAAAGTGTAGCTAAAACGAACTCCAGAAGAATTTTTGTTACTTTAAAATGATTTTTTATGTTGCAAAATGGATATACGCACACTCGCTTGTATAATGGTAATCGCAAGTCAGTTTAAGTACGTCTGCACTTGCCGGGCAACTCCTTCAGTGCATCTGTACTTGCTTGCTAGGTAACTTAAGTACATGTGTCTTTGCTGAGTAAGTTGGGTACATTTAGCATATACGTACGTGTTTTTAACTACACATATATACAGTATCGATTAATCGTACTAATTAGGTCAAAACATTAATAATAATTAGGTCAAATCATGAATATAAATGAGATCAAAGTATGCATATTAATGAGATCAAGATGTGAATGATGATTAATTTTCGTTGTTATGATGGAGTCGGGCAAATGATTATCCTAAGCAAATTAAGGATGACGCTGACGGTCGAGTTAATGGGATTGAATTGGATTTGGATTTTGTTGAAGGTGATGTTAGTATTCCTGTTGAAATATCTGGCCGTCTTGTTCTAGAATGTTAGGGGAGATGTGATTAAAAGTTATCTTAAGCATTAATTAGTTAGTTTATTAATAATAATTGATGTGTAGAGTGTGTGCTTGTGTGTACGTGTGTGCTGTACATGTGTGTTGTGTGTGTGTACGTGTGTGTATACGTGTGTGTGATTTTGTAAAAATCTCAGCCACAAACTTGGTCATTGAATACAGCCATTGTTTCCAGCAAAAAGACATCAGTGTTCGAGAGCTTGATGGTCATATTTTTCACATTTTCAACTGCGAAATCAAGCGCTAGTAAATTAGCTACGATGGTAGTGTTGGTGATGTTTAGGGACGGATTAGTATCGGGTGGGATTACGTAGGGAGGAGACGCATTCGAACCCGGGACGATGTGAACTGAGTACAGCGAAGTTGCGTCCAGTGAGCATGATCCTATGAAGATGAAAATATGAAAAATTTAAATGACAAAATATTAAATACAAAAAAGGAATAAAATGTTGAAATTATTATAATTATAAAATAAAATAAAAGAATAATGAAAAGAATAAGATTAATGATGAATAAGAAGATGATGATGATGATGAAGATGATGATGATGAAGATGATGAAGATGATGATGATGATGGTGGTGATGATGATGATGATGATAACAAAAGTATAAATTTATGTATTTAAACTCTCTTACCGTTTAACACCGATAACGTAGTCGTTAACATTGTTGTTTTATTTGACGTTGTTGTTGTTGCTGCTGCTGTTGATGTTGTCGTTATTATTGTTGATGACGTTGTTGTTATTGATGACGTCATTGCCGACTGGGGTGTAGTTGGTGATGTTATCGTAAAATTACCGTTTATTATTGTTGTTGCTGTTGCTATTATAGATGATGATGATGATGTTGTTACTGCCAATGACGATGATGATGACGATGATGATGACGATGTTGTAGTTGCTGCTGTTGCTGCTGACGATGAAGTTGTTACTCCTGATGACGATGATGACGACGAAGACGATGACGTAGACGTTGCTATTACTGATGATGATGCTGACACTGGCTGTTGTGGCGTTGATAGTAGCGATGATGACGACGACGACAATGATAATGATACGGTTGCGACTAAAGTAGTTAAGATAGTCGTCGGAGAAAAAGCCGTTGCTGTTATTAGCGTTGTTGGTGTATTTGCTGTTGTTGTTGTTGTTGTTGTTGTTGCGGTATTTGATGCAATCGTTAATGTAGCGGTATTTGTTGCTGTGGCTGAGGTGTTTGCCGCTGTAGCTGCAGAATTCGTTGTTGTAGCTTCAGTGTTTGCTGTTGTAGCTGCAGAATTCGCCGTTGTAGCAGTGGAATTTGCTGTTTCTGATACAATCGATGTTGCTGTCGGAGCCTTTGAGACAACGTTTGTTGCAGTTGCGGTAGTAATACTCGATACAATTATATTTGATGTCTTTGCAACGGTTGCGGCAGCAGTAGTTGCACCTAGGTCTGTAGACGGTCTCAACGTTACTGTGCTCAATTTTGCTGTTGTTGTTTTACCAGTTGTTGTTGTTGCTGCTGTTGGATTCTTTGCTGTTGTTGTTGTGTTTTTTGCTGCTGTTGTTGGGTTCTTTGTTGTTGTTGGGTTCTTTGTTGTTGTTGGGTTCGTTGTCGTTGTTGCTGAATTCATTGCAGTTGTTGTTGTTGTTGCGTTCTTTGGTGTTGCTGCTGCATTATAGTAACAATGTTATCGTTAAACGAAGCTAACAAAATGTGAAATTTTAGAAAAAAAATTTCAAACACCTGGGAAGTTGATTTATAATTATGGGACAACATAAACAAAACGCTGAATACGTCTGCACGTAAAACGACAAAAACATACAAATAATAACATACATATACACGCAAACACACACACAAACACACACACAGCAGCGATTAAGATTTCAGCAATAGAAGACAAAGCTACACACACACACACACACACACACACACACACACACACACAGAAAGAGAGAGAGACAGAGAGTGGAGAGAAAGAGAGAGAGATAGAGAGTAGAAAGAGAAAGAAAGATAGATACACATACACATAGCCAGACAGATAGCGAGACAAACACACACACACAAACATACACACACAGAGAGAAAAAGAGAGAGATAGACAGATAGACACACATACACACAGATAGCGAGACAAACACACACACGCACACACACACGCACACTTACCAGAATATGACGCAGCTACCAAAATGACAGCAATGAACGACAGCGCGATTGATAGCACTATCCAAGTCCACGGGCTTTGGATGAATTGGAAAAAATTCAACCTATTCCTATTTCTTCTTCCCATCGGTGAATATCTCTTCATCTTTACTTTGTTCTTAATTAATTAGATAATTAATTTGTTAATTGAATGACTAAATTAATTAGATAATTAATTTGTTTATCGGATGACTAAATTAATTAGATAATTAATTTGTTAATTGGATGACTAAATTAATTAGATAATTAATTTGTTAATTGGATGACTAAATTAATTAAATAATTAATTTGTTTATCGGATGACTAAATTAATTAGATAATTAATTTGTTAATCGGATGACTAATTACTTTGTCTATTCGTTCGTTCGTTCCCTTATTTGTTCGTCTATTGCTTAATTAATAATTTACATACAAATAATTAATTTAATTTAATTATTCCGACAGAAATGGACAAAACTCTTTTCAAATATAATAATAATATTTCAATAATTTATTTTTTGATTTAATAAATATTTACATTCAATTAAACTTAATGGTGTTAATTAATTAATATATATATATTATTACTATATATATATATATATATTATATATATATTATATATATATATATATTATATATATATATATATATATATAGCTCCAGGTTATTCATGTACAAATGAATGTTACACAAAACTAATCCCTCTTTTTTTGGCGCTAAACTTTATTAATGTTATGAATATTATTTATTATTGTTGTCATTATTATTATTATTATTATTGTGAAATTCACACACAGTGTTAATACACACAAAATTTATACACAGTAATCAATACACACTAAACAACACAGTGCATACACACACACGAATAATCACACACACACACACACACACACACACACACACACACACACACACACACACACACACACACACACACACACACACACACACACACATAGTGCATACAAACAAGCACAAACACACAAACACCACACACACACATACAAACGCACGTTCACACACGCATATACACACGGACGTTTTAATACAATACGCACGAGCAAAATATACGCATATATATACGAAAATACATGCTAATACACAAATGTATACATCAACATATAGCACATCCACGACCACGGTTAGTTATGCGGGTACCCACAAAACCAAATCAGATAGGAAAACCTATACACTCTAGTTAATTTTGTGCATCCGTCTACGCATCCCCTAAGAAACACGTCAATACGCACCTACAATCTCGCATGTTTGCGGTGCCTTCCTACCCCCACCCAACATTTTGGAGATCCGACAGAAATCAGATGGTTCTCGAGCAACGTCGTAACTGAGCGGCTGCCCGTGTCAATCAAACGATTGCCCCAACCTGTCATCACGATCGGAAGGATCTGGATGGCTGGCCAATTGTTTGCCACTATAAATAAATTCCATCTTATAGTTTAGGGTGATTTTTTAATTTGAAAAATATTTTGCAATTTGATTCCCTTGAAAAGTTATTTATATTATTTAAAATTTTAATTTATAATTTTTTTTAAATATTCTCATAATGTTAAATTGGATTTTATTTGAAATGAAACGGCGATAGCAAATAACCCACGCGAGAAAATAATAAAATTTTAAAATCTATTGTTGGTCACCAGTCATAGATATATATATATATATATACATAGATATATATATATATATGTCAGCAGTACCACCCACATTACACAAAAATACCCTTACAATTGCAGAACAGCTCTTAAATACCAAAAACAAACTGTACAACCATTGATTAAGTCGTAAAAATTGTGAAGACTCCTATTTGAAAAAATTTTCTGAAATGTTACATACAGCACGATGTTTACAAAAATACCCAACGAAGCATATGTATCTATTAAGTTTCAGGCAATTGTATTTATTTTTTCTGAAATGTCACAGCACGATGTTTACAAAAATACCTACCGAAGCATATATATTTATCAAGTTTAAGGCAATTGTATTAAGTTTCTCTGATAGACGGACAAACCTAATCATTGATTTAATAACACAACTTATAAGGTATTAACGATAATTACATTACACACCGCCTGAAATACACGTTAATCTGACTTCCTTCTGCATGTAAAGTATTACACGCGATTTAATTAAACTATAAAAATTAATCATAAATTACGTCAAATCACGAACCACCGAACTCCACTAAGTTAAAACGAAGCAAATTTATAATTTTCAATATCAAATCTTCATCAAATACTATATCTAAACAATGAAAAAAGACTTTTTCAAAGTATATATATATACTTTATATATATATATATAAATATATATATATACAAACATACATCCAGTCTTTTTTCTAATGAATGCAAAGTAAAAATCTAATATATACAAAACTAGAAATGAGAAAATTCAATTGAAAAGCTTTACCATCAAAAAACAATCTAATTACGAAATAAAAATGTATACAAACATTTTCAACGCACTTAAACATACGCACATATGAAACAGCATTTAAAAATTTTTTAAAAAAAGTCATAAATTCATTTTTTCTTATTTAAAACGTCCATCAATAGACGCTTCATGACATTAACTTCATGCTCTCTACTCTTCACAATATCTTTCAGCTCTCTATTTCTATCTAACAATTTCTCTAATCTTTCCACATTCTCTAGTTCTTCCATTTTTTTCTTGTTTCTATACTTTGTGGCAGCCCTTTTGTTCTGCTCTCTCTTGCGTTTTGACATGTAGCTACCGCCACTACCGCTACTGTTGTTATTGTCATCACCATAGTCATCTAGGTCCGAATGTCTTTTAATATTCTTTTTTCCTTTCTTGGAAGTTGTCCTTTTCAGGAATTTTCTTCTCCTCTTCTTCTTAGTATAACTTGAGTTGTGTTTGTAGTCGTCGTCGTCTTCATCATCATTTTCATCATCATCATCATTATCGCCATCTTCATCACTGTCATCATCAGAGAGAGGTCCAACATGAGATTGGGGAAAGTTTCTTTTCTTACTTTTCACTTTTGAATTTTGAATAACCTCTGACCTGACCTCATCAAATGGAGGATAAAAATCCTCAACATCCTCTTCTTCCTCCACTACTACATCATCAGCATCATTATTGTAGTAACCATAATGATTGCCTTCATCTTGAATGGCCTGATTCATCTCAGTAGATAGAGGAGATGGTATAGGAAAATTATGTACATCGCCATAATCATATGATTCCTCTTCCTGTAGTCCTGGATCTTCATGATGATGAGGAAGAGAAGGAGGATGTTGATTAGGAGGTTGAGGATCAAATGGTGGTAGGCCGGCTTCTTCTTGATTGACAGTTTCTTCAACAGTCACGACATCAATGACATCATTTTCATCATCTTGATAGAAGCTCATGGAATTTTCTAAAGTTAATGCCGAATCAATTAGGTTGGATTGTTGGACTATCCCAGTCCAATCTTCCAAGAGCTTGTTATCTATCGTTCCTGGTGAATTAATGTATAAAAATAACTAAATACACAAAATAGTAAAACAATCAAGAAAGTTCATTATAACAATCCTTATAAATACTGTTGTTATTACCATAAATGTATAATTAGCATAATTTATGTATGAAAGTAAATACCTGATTCATTGAACCCAAGAAAATCTTCATGTTCGACTCTGTTGTTGTGAAAGTCAGGAAGCACAGGTGTTAATTCTGAGCTCAGGACATCTAGAAAGCTGTGCAGCTCCGACTCATATGGAGAACTTTCATTGGAGAATGAGAAAGAATTCTCAAGGTCTAACAAGTTATGGTGGAGATTGCCTGACCCTAACCTGGGCTCTATAAGGTCGCCAAGGAGGTTGGCCTGTGGTAGACTGTGGGAGGCTTTTTTTACTTTCATGACCCAATTTGATGGCTTTACCATATTTGACAGGTTTAGAGATAATTTTTGTGGGAAAACTGAAAAGCATAAAGGAAACTAATTTTATCATTTATATATCAAAATATACAACACAACTGAATATACAGTTTGTTTTATATTTATTTATTGTTATTCGTTCAGTCATTCATTCAGAAATGACTCAATAGCCAGATTTTGGCAATTAAACTAGTCTAAAATTAATATTTAACATTTTAAAAACTAAAATAAGCAAGAAATAGACTAACGATGCAGAAGAAACTCACCCCATTTTCGTAAATTTTAAGTTTGGTTGCGAAGTGTGAAGCACACAACGCAGTTTTAGCATCTTCCTCCAGACATCATTTTTACAAAGTGATAACAAATTAAATTTAAAAAATTAACAATTAGATCTTAAGTTATTGTAACAAGAAGAAGAGGAAGAGTTAGATCTCAATTTACAATTAAAATTACAGTGACAAAATAAGTTTCTACTTAGAATGAGACAGCTATCAACCTCAGTGAAAGTCATTGTGAATTTTAACTTAAAAATGATGTTATCTAAAAAAAAAAATTATCAAACAATAATTGCAACATATATTTTAATTAAAAAGACGCTCTGCATTTATATTCTAAACGAGAATTTTAAGAATTAGGCAGAGAAAAACCACAAAAACAAAACTTGGAGGAGACGACATTCAAGAAATGTCAATAGATTTTTTTCACTTTTATACATTTTTATGGATTGCCACCGCACAACATTTAAATTGGAAAAATAGTCCTTAAAATCTTATCAAAAAACCAGCAAAACTGATCAAAATTCTGACATAAAGTGCAAGAAAATTTTACAAAACATTTAATTAATTAATTTTACATTAAAAATTCTTGGTAAAATTTGAGAAAATAGCGATTTTAGCACGGATTAATACATTATTGCATCACATTGTTACTCATTATCATACACACTGCAAGCACTCCAATGATATAAGACCACGTTATTGGGAACACGTGGTTTTGAGTGTTTTTGCGTTCAATGTTCGAATTTTTAGATATGAAATTAAATTTTTATCGAGAAATTTCATTAACATTTATTTATAAATTTCATGTTCATTCACGTTTTTTCACAATTTTTACCAGTTATTTTGAGGTTGCTGAAGTGTTGGAGTCTTGATTGCGGAACTAATGGTGAAATTGGTTACAGCAATAATGATGAAGACGGTAACTTAGAATGAAGTTTCCATTGTCTGTGCAATCCTTGTCTTATTCTAGCGCAGAGCACTCACCCACCCCAACATTGTCTTTCTCACTTTTTCTCATCTCTTTCACTCTCTCCCCTTCAAGTTATTAAAGAATTATTTTTTCAACTTTTCAAGAACAAGAGCCTCTCCATGAACAGCCGCAAATAACGTCCATCTTATTCTTTCAAAAAATAATCTAAAGAAAGCTAAATTAAACCCTGATAAATCTTAGCTTAACGCTAAATATCTATAAATAGGTTTAGTGTTTTCGCCAAAACATACAAAATTAAAAAAAACACCAAAAAGACATCAAACTTCGATTCTCTGGCTGAAAGCATTATGATGAGAGTTAATATTATTTTCCTAAATATAACATCTGATCATTCTCACAATCCCTTTATTTTATATGTATATATATATATATATATATATATATATATATATATATATATATATATATTTATATAAATACACCACAAATTACGTTTAAGATTGTATCAACAACGTATTTAACGTGGAGAAAAAAAAAACAGAAAAATATCTCCAGGAAAATCTTCAGTGAAAAAATAGTGAAAACACTAAAGCAAGAAAATAATAATATTAATAATAACCGATCCATAACACGTTTAGATGCATACAAACACACGTACGCACACACAACACACATACATATATATACACACAGATACAGGCATGCACACTTACATCCATCCATACATACATACATATATACACACACACACACACATGCGAGAACATACTTTATACAATCATTACGACAAAGGGAAGTTAAGTAATAATAAAAATATCCAAACAGCATAAAACAGTATATATAACAATGTATATATATATATATATATATATATATATATATATATATATATATATATATATATATAGAACTTAATATTATCATTATCATCATCTCTTAACGCTATCAATGTACATTTGCAAATAGTCAGTTAGTTCGTGCAGCGTAAGGTTTCTCTTCAACAGGCAAATCTGGGTAGGGGTGTGATGAAAATTATAATATTATAATGAACTAATAATCATAATTTATTTATTCCTAATATATGTTTGAATTTATTAAGTGATTATTATTATTACTTCTATATTAATTAAACCTACCAATTCTACCAACACATATACAAACACACGTACACAGTGCATTTTAATTCACACTTCCTATTACATAACTAAGCAAACAAAGTAAAAATAAATAAATATATTATAATTGAAATAACAATCATAATTATTATTATAATTAAAGATTAATTAACCTTAGTGACAGCCTTCTTCATGATGTCTTTGTACTGATCTTTTGTAATGTCACCTCTATTGTACATAGGCTTCATAATCCTCCTTAGCTCCATCTCAACCGATATAGTATTGCAAGGCTTTGGAAAGAAGACGTTATAATTACAAAATTATTATGATGTAATTATGATATTATTGTGATATAAATATGATAACTGCGTTATTTATTTACAGTTAAATTTAACAACGTACACAGTAGTAATAGTGATGATTTTAAATAGAAAAAATTTGAATAAAAGATAAATTCCTTAAACATAGATTACAGTAAGCAAATGATGATGATGGTGACGATGATGATGGTGATAATAACAATAATAATAATAAGCTTAATGGTAATAACAATATTGATAATAATTAAAACTACGAAATAAATTAAAATACTAACTACAATTATAAACATAATAAACTTAACAACAACAAATGATTAAAAAAAAAACTCCACTAACAATGACTTCGGAGTCCCTATGTGTCAAGTGGGTGTCACTAGGGGACGACCTCGAGCCACCCCCATGCACGCCGGAGGGCTGAAACTTTTCCATCCATTTGTTGCAATGTTGAGACGCACCTCCGCCTCCACCACTGACATTCATATGATCTAAGTTCACTTTTAAACTGTTTGTTTGATGGTGGTATGGAAAGTTGGTGATATTATCACAATACAATAAAATAATTATACTAGCGGTGATAATTTTGGCAAGTACTGGTAGTCCGTGTTCAAGTATTTTACATAAAATACATGGTGAACGGTAATATCTTAGCGTTTATTCATAGGGACAAAATCAATAAAAACAAAAGTCTAACTGATTGTGTGGCTGTTGGACCCTGGCAGAAGAAGGCTGCTGTAGAGGGGGTGGCGGGGGCGGGGGCGAAATTTGTGGCGAATAGAGGTAACTAGTGGCCAGTACGGTTTCAACACTCAGACTGCCATTTACGGCGTTGACTACATTTTCGGGTTTTTTACCGGTTTTAACGGTCGACACTGATGAAGATGAGGTCGATGCTGACGTCACTCTTGGCTGTTGGTGGAGGGATTGTTGAGGGTTATTACCCGGCACTGCCGAAGCCCCAATACACTCTCTCAAGCTAGTAGCCTCTCTCATCATTCTTTCGACAATCTCATTTAGACGTTCGTTATTGACAGCTGGGCCTTTAGAAAGTGCAAGCGCCTGATTCAGGGCCAGCTGACAATAATTGATGACGTCATCAATTGATTTATTATTATCATTATTATCATTATTATTCAACAGAGGGGCCACTTTGTGAGTAGAATCTTTCTTTAGAATTGATCTATGACAAGTCGACGTTGTCTCTTTTTCTTCGACTGCTGCCTTAGGCTTGGAGGATTTTTTAACCACCCCGACCTTGTAGCGATTCTTGCACTTGAGATCTTTGGTCTCAGGGTTGTTGTTGTCATCATTACTATTGTTATCACTTGTTTCCATGGAGGCAAGCAGTTGCGGAGTCGTGTCGCTTCTATCGTTCACGGGACATGCAGAAATTTCGGAATGTTTGATGTCGATCGTGGCAGTTTTATAAGCACTGCAACTGGTATCTTTATCATGATCTAAGTTGATATCATCGTCATTATCATAATCATGAACATCATCATTATTATTATTATCATTATTATTATTATTACCCTCTGGGATCGTACTGGTTTCTTTAAAATCTTTAAAATAGTTGGTGTATGGTGATTGAACAACAATGCTGTCGTCGTTAGCATCATTAACAATATCATCATCACCACCACCGTCATTGAGGTTCTCCATATTTCCATAATCGCTATACTCATTGTAATTATCATCCTTTTCGTTGATGCAATCCTCATTCATTTCATTTTCCATCTGTCTATCTTCAGCCGCGTCGTCAGCTGCAGCAGCAGAAGTAGCAGCAGCCGCGTTATCATCTTCAACATTTCTATTAATATTTAGCATCCTCTCCAGCTTCAAATACTCAGATTCATTACAATCATTGTCGTCACCATCATCACGATTATTATTGTTATTATTATTATCATCACCGTTATCATCATTCTCATCGTTGCCAAATGTTTCACCCACATCTTCATCACATGTATTGCCAAATAATTGTTCACCATCAACCATCTGCCTTACAATCATATCATTATCATCATCAGCTGTAGCAAAAGTAGTAGTAGGAAAAGGAGTGGTAGAGATGATAGCAGTAGCAGCAGCAGCAGCAGCAGTAGTAGTAGTAGCTGCAGAAGAATTTACAAAAACAGTCGTAGTGCTACTATTACTACTACATAAATCATCAATATTTTTACTAAGAGTAGAAACACCAGCCAAATCTTTAGTAGCAAAAGTACCAGCAGCATCATTAAGAAAATTTGTACCGCTAGTAAAGGTAGAAAAATTCACACTACTATTAGTGTAGTTCTTACTACTAATCAATGGCTGTGCATTGGTGTGAGTGGACTTAAGCTCTTTTATCTTGTCCGGGGTCAGTATAAGGTCATCATCGCCAGCCGCCATTTGGATACTGTTGACAAGAAGAGGGTCCAGGTCCCAGAAATTGGCGTTTTCGTAATCGTAGCCTTCGTCATCATCGTCACCATCATTAGAATTATGCATAGGATTCTCACTGCGGCTGTAGTTGTCGTGCCAACTAAACTGTTGTTGTTGTTGGGTGCTGTCGTCGACATTTTTGTTGCTGTAATTAGCATCCTTGTTGTCATCATCGTTGTTGTTGTCTCGTTTTCGATGAGCTTCTGACGACTTTGTGGAAGAAATTTTTTTATCTTTGTTGCTGATAGTGGTTGATTTTTTACTCGATTCAAGGTTTCTATCGTCATCATCTGAATACTGTTTACTTTTAGTTGAACTTTTGATGTTTTTATAGCTGTCAACATTGTCAATTTTTACATTTTTGATAGATCTGTTTGCATATTTATCATCATACCTAACATTATCATTGTAATAATCTTCTCCATCAGCATGCAATCTACTTCCATCTACATGTTGCTGCTGCTGCTGAAGATGCTGATGGTAGTAGTGTGTGTCATCAGAATTGTTATCATCCTGATCGAAGATTGAATTTTTCTCAGCGTAGTAGCGTCTACTCAGGCTGTCAGCGGATATCTGGACATTATCCTCCAGATGATGTCTCTGATGATGAAGATGATAGCTGTCAGTGGTGACCGAGGATGTCGTAGTTGATGTCATCGCAGCTGAAGTAATGTTGTTGACGTCGTAGCTGTTGTTGTTGTTGTTGTCATCGACGTTTGTATTTTTCAAGTTTTTAATAGCAGACTCTTTCTGTTTAACAACCCTTGTTTCATTCTCTTCATAATTTACATCACTCGGTTTTTTAACCATTTTAGAATTGGTAGATGATTTAGAAATGGCTTTTTTTGAATTTTCTTCTACTAACTTCATCTTCTTGTTGGGTAATTTTTTGGTTTTTGTTGCTCTATTATCACCTGAATCACTTGAACTACTTTCACTACTGCTTCTGTGACCTTTCTGTCTCTTTGACCTCAATCCAGATAGTTTTGTTTTTCTTGTTGAGCTGGATTTTTTACTGGGTTGAACTTTTGATTTAACCCTATAGCTGTCTGTCTTGTATCTATCATCATAGTCACGCTTGTAGTAATCATTTTTGTAATTTTTACCATAAGAGTTCTTACGATTGTAATAGCCACCGTAATATCCATAATTTTTTACCTTTCTACCGTACGAATAACTTCTTGACCTAGAACGACTATATGACTTTTTATAACGCTTTCTCTTTCGTGAGTCGTATGAAGAATGGGAGGATGATGACGATGACCTAGAATAAGAACCCGATGACCTGGATGATGATCGCCTGTTTCTGTCTGTACTTCTACCCTGGTGGGGCATATCTCTGTTTCGACTTTCTTTCATAATTTCTGGCTTTCTTTTTTTCTTACGATCATCAACTGCAGATGTCTCCACCTTATTGCTCTGATCAATTTTCTTGGCAGGTGATTCAGTGTTTGGAATTTCTCCCTCCTCCATATCCTCTGCCACTTTTTTATGGTCATCAACAACTAGTTGAATATCAGTAGTTCCGGATTTCAATTCAGAAATGTGCTCCTGAATTTTGGGTAGTGTTCGAGCTGTTTCTACATCTTCTTCCAGCTGATTAGAATTTGACTGCTTCAACATAGAGTTGGACAGAGATTTAAAACTGAATTTAACTGGTAGTTTGTCTACTGAATTGTTATCATCTTTCCCTTCAACCCTTGCAGAACTATCTTTGTTTTGTAAATTCAGCTTATCAGAGATCGACATGAGACCAACCAGCTTTTTAACATTGAAATAATCCACATAACTACCATCCTCCGTATATTCAACATCATAACTTGGAGCAGTTGTACAATCCAAGTATTTACTGGCCAACTCCCCATCTCCAAATGTGCATGCGATGTATTTCAGGCAATCAAAATTTAGGAAACCATCGCGAAAATCCATCTGAAAGTAATTAAATCTTTAACTTTTTAAATTGAAAACATATTTCAATTAAAAAATTTACGCTAGCAACAGGCCAACAAGCAACCTCATTCTCCAAAAAAAAAAAATCACAAAATTCAATGAAATTTAAGGAAATTTTTTATAAAATTAGTGGAATTCATATGAAAAATTTAACAGCAAAGTTTACTAAATGGATTAAATGAATAAATCGCCATTTTTATTACTAACAACGGCAAAATAGCGGAAAAATTCTGTGAAATATTAGTGAAACGAACGAAGTTAAGTTTTGTTTATTTAAGTAGAGCAAAGAAGTTTAAATAAGATTCCAGAGTATGCAATTTTACGACATTGTTACAATAAAATAGGCGCTAGATAAGCCTCATTAAATCACTATAATTGCTTACTTTTATATTACTATAATTGTTTTCTTTCATTTGTTTACGCAAATTTTTCAAATTATTAATTTCAACGCAAGTTGTTCGTTACGTAGTCAAATTTTATTGACAAGATTCACACGCATATGCGAACTACATTTATATAGGTATAACAATATTAATAAGTTTTATACGTTAAAATTTTTATATTTTATGACGACGCACACCAAAATCGTAAAATCATTGTTCCATTCATCTCTTTTAACATAGCGCTTGTAAACAATCAAGATTTTACACGGACACTGATGATTGGCTGAAAGAAAATGACGTCACAATCGAAACATTTGCCAGTGAACACGAACGCCGTCATCAAAAATAAAAAAATTAATAATCAATAATAATTATTAATATTACAATTCAACGAAAATGGTAATAATAGTAATAATTTTATTTTAAAAGAAATTTTCAAATATTCGGCTTTCTGGATAACTTTTTTGCCTGCCATGTTGAAAATCTTGTGTGGGCTTTTTCGATCATCGTATTCATGTGGCTTGTTAGCTGAATTTTTGAAAAAAAATTCATTGATTTTATATATTCTCCTTACACAAACATTAAAACATCTATCTATCTACCTACCTACCTACCTACCTACCTACCTACCTACCTACCTACCTATCCATCCATCCATCCATCCATCCATCCATCCATCCATCCATCCATCCATCGATCTATCTATTTATCTATCTATCTATCTATCTATCTATCTATCTATCTATCTATCTATCTATCTATCTATCTATCTATCTATCTATCTATCTATCTATCTATCCATCCATCTATATATCTACCTACCTATCTACCTATCCATCAATCTATATATCTATATCTATTTATCTATTCCCATACATCTAATTATCCGTCCGTCTATTTATAAATATGAGAAAGAAATTTAGAAAGAAAAAAGGATATAAAGATCCTAACATCGATATCTGGCTGATGTGTTTGTAGTTTCTCAGAAAAAGGTGCCAACTTGGTCTGCTGAAACTTTCTCAAGCATTCATCCATCCTAGCAGCCTGGACGCGAGATCATAATAATAATAATAATAATGATGATGATGAAATTCTTTTAACATAATTAATGCGTCTTCTTTATAATTTATAATTATTTTTACAAAAATTATATGAAAAAAATATCATTACAACCAACTAAACCATAAACAGAAAGAACACGTTCACAAACCAAAAAAAACCACCAACCAAACAAACAAGCAAACGAAAAAACACACAGAAACAAACTTTCTCATCTAGTTCTCGAGATGTCACGGGAAAGCAGGACCAGAAATGCCTTAGCAACTCAGAAAGAGCCATATACATACTCTTCAATTCGTGTTTTGAATCATTAGGTACTATACCTGAGAGAATTCCAAAAATGTTATTATTATTATTATTATAGCAATTATATAAATCTTTTAATAATTAATAATAACTATGGAGACAATTTTTAAGACCATCAATCTGTTGGCCGAGAGAATCTTGCATAAGTACTCCAGTTGGGGCCAGTTCACTGAGGACATTCAGGCCCGCATTACTAGGCAGGATCTATATTTATTTAGAGAGTGATGACGACGATGAAGATGGCGATGCTGTTTTGGAGAGATGTTTCAATGATGATGTTTTTTAATGATGGTGTTGTCTATTATTATATTATATACAGGCATAATCCTAAAAATTTGTTGTCACTAGTTCAAATAGAACATCTCATGACCTGTATTCGATTTTCAAATTCATAATAATTAAATTGGTTTAATTAGCTCAAATTCGTATTAACTTTATTATTAGTTATTTTTAATTCTATTTACTTGGATGAAAAGTTATTAAGAAATAATCATAATGTCGTTGCACTTCAATCAATCAATCAATCAATCAATCAATCAATCAATCAATCAATCAATCAATCAATCAATCAATCAATCAATCGATCGATCAATCGATCAATCAATCAATTGCACTTCCTCATTCAAAGAGCTGAACAAACCAACGGAACCTTACGTCTGAAGAATGCCTTATTGCGATTCTTTGAGACCACAAATGGTGATAATGATGATGTTGTTCATGATGATGTTGTCTATGATGATGTTAAGATTGTAATGGCGAACAGGCACAAACAAACAGACAAAGAAACAACGACAAAAAACTAAAAAAACCTGATGTGCAGCATTACACTTCCACGAAATGACGTCATTATGGAAAGCCTGAGCGGCAGCTAGTAGCTCGTCGCTGGTGTTGTAGGTTAGCGCCATCTCTGGCACGGGTCCATGCATGTAGGCGTCAACTCTTGTTAGATTTAAACTAGTCATCGACGTCACGTTGACGTCACGGCTGCCGATGACGTCATCGTCGATGTTGCCGGTTAAAAGTTCTAACTCTGACGCCACCGATGATGACGAGGAGGGCGATGCTCTCTTTGTACCGTTCTATTTTTAGTATGGTTCGGTGGTTTTATTCATCTTTCGTATTTTTGTTAACTTTTAAAAATTTCATCTACTTTTAGTACTTTCATTTGGTTTCATTCAGAAAAGTATTTTTATATAAATATAAACCTTAATTGTTATTACAACAGAGTTACAACACAATTGTTGTAAACATTTCAAAGTATATATCATCCCAACTATCCTAATCATCTTCCATTACATAAACGTACAAACGAAAGAACGAACAAGCAAACAAATAAACAGACAAACGAACCAACCTTTTTGCCATTACTCCTCTCAACAACACCATCTACATTATTAATATCTCTCGTTACTTTCTTCTCGACAGCCACACCCAGCACATCACTACTTTTATTATTATTATTACTACTATTCTGGGGAGTATCGATCGATTTCAACACCAAAGTCGAGTGTTGATTGAATCGTCGGATTAGTGAAATGTTTGCCGATGATATTGAGCCTGGCTCCTTTTCAGGGAAATAATCCTCTCCATAGTACTGCACAATGAAAAACATCAAACAACCGCTTATTATTTGTCAATCCAATCAATCAATCAATCATCGTTTAGCGTCCAGACACCCAGTTCTCCCGAGGTAGGACGTTGTTTTCTTTGCCATCAATTTAAATGGTTGATTGATTGGTTGATTAAAAATTTGTATTTTTAATATAAACCGAAACGGACAGTTCGGTAGTCTAATGATTAAAGGCGCCTGTTTCGTGAGTAGTTTGCTGCAGTTATCGAGTTCGAATCCATAAAATCCTTCAATAACTGTATGTAGGTATGTATAGATAAACACGTGGAATTTTGTAAGAAGTTGCGTGTTGTGGTGTAGCCACACATATTTGTTTCGCATATGTATGCATGTATAAATTCACATATTAAACATATACAACCTCATAGAAAAGACCCACTTACATATTTAGATATAAATAAATATACTCTTATTAATTTGTTTCTAGTTAATTTATTTTTAATTCTTTCACGGTTAACCTTCAAAGGTATCAACAAACAACACACAAACAAACACGCTGCATGTAAATAAAGTACACATTAAGCTATGCATTGTATGCACACATTGCATGTGATAAAAAGGGATTTGTTTGCATTCAAACTCGGTAACTGCACTAGAAGGAACAGGTGCCTTGACGACTATACTACCATCTTATCACGCGTATAACCTCATCTGACGATGTCTCAATTAATGACTGTAGATCCATTCTATTCCCTGATTTTTCTGTCTCAATTTCTGATCTCAAAACTTTGGAAAGAAAAGAATTAAAATATGAATAATGATTTTAAAATTGTTTCGTTCTGTATTCCAACAACAACGACAACAACAGCATCCACACCAACAACAACATCACCATCATAACTCACTCTTCTCATCGTTCTTGGCACAGTCAGCAAACAACTCTTTGTCACTGATATTAATGCGATCTCTGTGAAAATAGTGCGATTGAAAGAACTCATACCAGAATTCCTGCTCTGTCAACTTATCGGGTACATACTCCAAGTGCTTCTGTTCAACTGCAAAATGGAGAATATTTTAAGAAAATATACTACAGTAGGACGATACACCCACACACACAACACAAACAAACACACACACCAAATAACACAGAGTGAGATAGAAAGAGAAAAATTGAGAAATAAAGTGAGAAAAAGACATGCCCACACACACACATATACCAAACAACACAAAGAGTGAGATAGAAAGAGAGAAAAACTGAGAAATAAAATAAGAAAAACACATGCCCACCCACACACAGACAAAGAAACAAACACACACAGGAACAAACATACCGGCTGGGTAAGTCTTAAATATGTTGTCAATCACGTCTGGGGTTAAGTTGTACCTGATGCCATTGCACCCCTCTGCCGTGCCCTGGATATCTGCCTGGGGTGTGGTGGTGTTTGCAATACTTGCATAAAAATTATTTTTATCAACAACTGGAAACTATAATTAATAACGTAACGTAATTATACATTTTATTTACGTACTATAATTTAACAATAACTAACTATTGTTATATAGAATTATCACAAATTGTGATTTAATTTAATGATATGCATATGTTTGTGCTTGTGAGTGTTATGAATTAATAAAAATCATTATTATTATTATCATGATTCTTAGCATAATTATTTTTATTATGAAAATAATTAAAAATTATAAAAACAAAGAATAAGCAGACCAAAAAGCCAGCTGAAACACCAATGTTTTGTGCTGATGAGTCTATCAGCTTATTACTCTATTTTGTTATAAGTAAAAAAAATAATAATTAATCAATCAATTAATTAATCAATCAATTAATTAATTAACTAGGAATTAGTAATAAAAAAAAAAAAAGGAGAAAGACAGACAGAAAAAAGTGAGACAAAGCAGTCGCATGATGATAACACAGATCTTAATAAATATTGACAAATTACAATAGTTAATTTGAAAAAACATTTTAAAATAATATTTTTTTATAATCTTTGTTTACCTTCAGTCTATCAGACCAGAATTCTTCCGGTGTGAGAACGTTGCCGACGACTAAATTTTTATACATTTGAAACAACTCGGGGTCCTCTTGCAACATTCTAGTAAAATAAAAAAAATATCAATATTATTTCAATGAAATTTTTTAAAGAATACTAATAAAACAGTGTAAAAATCATTACAAATAGATGTAACTTACTTATGTTTCTCTTCTAAATCGCCATTAATTTTCCTTTTAAACTTAACGAGCATTTGCTGGAGTAGATCCTTGACAGATTCACGATCTTTTAATTGAGCAGATCGGCCACCCGGGTTATTAAAATGAAATGTGCTAGCCCCACTAGAGTGAAGAACTATTTGAAGTTGAATTTTTTCTTTTTTATCTGGGGAAATTTTCTGAACTGTAAAGAAGAAAAATTTATTGCTGAGAATTTTAGCAAATAAATAAAAAACTAAAAAGAAATGCCTGTTAACCTTTAATATCAGAATAATTGTAGCTGATAGTGAATGAATCTTTTCCGGATGGCATCCAGGCCAGTCGCTCAGTTAGCAAGTAGAGGGTACCGTCACATTTTTTATTCTTTACATGGGTTATGTTCAATAAAACATCCTCCAAAGATTTTGCCATATTTAAGTTAGTTGGGACTTAGGAGGAGTAGGCAAAAATAACTAGCTTTAGTAAGTTTAGTTTATTAGTTTTTACTTTTTAGTAGTTTTTTTCAAATCTATAGTTTTTCTTTTTAGTTAGTGAAATTTCTGCAAATTTTTTAAAAATCAATCAGAAAAAAGTCACTATTTTTTGTATTCGTATTCAATTAGAAAATGAGTTTAGAAAATTTGAACAAAAAATTAATAATAAATAAAATTAAATATTTAAATAAATAAAATTAAATTAAATACAATTTTAGAAAAATTAAAAAATAAAAAATAAAATGTATAACACCTGTGAATAGCAACAAATCTAGTGCTCCAAATAATCTTTTGACAAAATTTTCAATATTTGATCTCAAAAACAATTTAAATATTTGATCCAAATTAACAAATCAGCAAATTAATAAAGCAACCCTACTTTAAAAGCCGAGACGTATTATCGCTATTTGTACATAGACTGCATAACATTAAAACTTAAGCAAAATTTAACTTATCATGAACAAAATGATTCATACTTTTAAACTGAGGAAATGATATTACAAAATCATTAATTTCATCATTAATTAATTATAAATTTATTGTTTAATTAGTTAATTTTTTACAATTCAATCTCAATATAGTTCAATAATTGATCACCTGTAAACTTTGTAACCTGGGACTTTAAACTTGTGTGACAAGTTTATTTTGAACACCGATTTTTCAAATCAAATTTGAGAAAAATGGCTAAAATAAAAGGTAAAATTTAATAAATATTGTGTTTTTCTATAATAATTATTATTTATATTCATAATATTATTATGCTTTTTGCATTTTTTAATTAAAAAATAATTTATTTTATAACTATTTAATATTTTAATTTTTAATGAATGATGTGTAATAGTTGCTTCTTTTATTTTATATGTATGAAATTGAAGAATATAATAATATATATAAAGATAGACTGTTTAGATGTGGTATTAATATTATTTCATTATAATTGAAATTTGAATTCATGTATTATTTTTTACAAATATTTTATTTTTAATTTTAATAAATGTTCATTATAGTTGGTCCTATTGTTGAAATTCAAGGAGATGAGATGACAAGGTTGTTTTCATTATTAATATTATTATTATTAAAGATTTTTCTATTATAATTTATAATATAATTATCCTATCACTATATTTATAAAATCTTAAAAGTTATAATCAAATTATTGTTAGGATTATCTGGGACCTCATAAAGGACAAACTCATCTTTCCATATCTGGACATTGAAATTCATTTTTTTGACCTGTCCATACAGAATAGAGATAAAACTGATGACCAAGGTTAATTTTATTATTATTATTATTTGTTTGTTATCATAAAGTTAAACATATCCAAAGCATTGCTACTTTCTACTGTAACGTTGCATTAGGTAAAAATCAACATTTGTATAACTATTACAACTACTACTACTACTGCTGCTGCTACTACTACTACTGCAACTACTACCATCATTATTACCTGACTAATACTTTATTACTGTTTATACTACTATTACTGCTGCTGCTTATACTGCTGCTGTCGCTGCTATTACTGCTGCAGCTGCAGCTGCTTCTACTACTACGACTACTGCCGCTGCTACTACTGCCGCTGCTACTACTGTTGCTGCTAGTAGCACACTACACATAATAGTTGACGAAACGTATATTTATTTTAAACTGATCAATAATCCATTCATTATTTTCTTACTTATTCTTCTCAATCAATCAATTAATAATAGCGTTAAAGTCGGTTAATTAAACGAACTAATGACGACAAAGTATTATAATTAATAAGTGAACTAATTAATAGCAGAACTTCATATTAATAATTAATTGATCAGTTAATCAGTTAATTAATTGATTATTTAATTAATTGTAGTTACCATCGAGTGTGCAAATGCAATCAAGAAATACAACGTTGGTGTCAAGTGTGCTACCATTACACCAGATGAACATAGAGTGGAAGGTTTATTATTATTTATTATTATTATTGTTGATGTTGTTGTTGTTTTATTATTATTGTTGTTGTTGCTGTTGTTGTTTTGCTTCGGCACTAAGCCTGCATATTCAAATTTTCTATCACCATCTCATCGATCATCATTTGTGCTTTGGCGGGGAGGGGGGAATTATTTAAATGTAAAACACACATACTCACACGCATACACACACGCACACACACATACACACATACACACTCACGGCAAGCACACACGCGCACACAAACAACCACACAAGAATTTATACCGAAAAAATGTGGATGATATACATGAACACATTTACATGCGCGCACACACGCATACACACACACACATACACACACACACGCAAGAATTTAAACTGAAGAAAATGTGGAAATCCCCGAACGGTACCATTAGGAACATTTTAGGGGGTACGGTTTTCAGGGAGGCTATCATTTGCAAGAACATTCCAAGAATTGTTAGTAATTGGAAAAAGCCTATTGTGATTGGACGTCATGCCTTTGGGGACCAGGTTTTTTTGTTGTTTCTTTATTTTTTGTTGTTGCTACTTTGGTTATTGTTTTTTTGGTTGTCGTTGTTGTTGTTTATGTTGTTGTTATTGTTGTAGTTATAACTATTATCGTCATCATCATCATAATAACCGTAATCATCATCTTCATCATCACCATCATCAGTACAAAGCAACGGACTTCGTAGTACCCGGTGATGGAAAATTAGAGATAACCTTCACCCCGGCAGACGGCAAACAGTGCCCGATGAGATATAGTGTCTTTGATTTCGTGGGGACGGGAGGAGTGGCCCTGGCCATGTATAACACTGATGAGGTGCTTCATTTGGAAAAAAAATGATTTCTGTATTAAAAACCGCGGCTTTTAATCATTACACTGTCAATCTCAGATGAATATTAGAGATAATAATATGTAATAATAGTATTATTACTAATAATAATCAGGTTTATATTTTTTTATTCCTTTTTTATTAATTTTCCTCCATTTTTTTACCTCAGTCTATCCGCGATTTCGCTCATTCATCATTTCAAATGGCTCTTCAGAAAAAGATGAATTTGTATATGAGGTGATTGATAGATTGATGAATAGATGGACGAATGAATGATGGAGGGATGAATTGATTGATGGATGCACGGATGGATAATAATAGTAGTGTAGAAGCAGCAGCAGAAACAGCAGTAGTAGCAGCAGTAGTAGTAATAGTAGTAGCAGTAGTAAGAGCAGCTGTAGTGGTAATAGTAGTAGTATTTTTATTATTATTACTGCTGTTATTCTTTTAAGTACAAAGAACACAATTCTGAAGCATTACGACGGCAGATTTAGAGACCTATTCGCAGAAATATACGCCAAGTTCGTACTAATAACAGTAATAACAACAATAGCAACCTTAAGAATAATAACATTAATAATATTAAAAGCAATAATAATAATAATAATGTTAATAATAATATAATAATAATATAATAATATTAATAATGTTAAAAAGTAATAGTGAATACTAGCCACAGTAGTAGTTGCTCGTTCCATAATTTTAGGGAGTACAAATCCATATTCGAGTCGGTCGGTATCGAATACGAACACCGACTGATCGACGACATGGTAGCCCAGGCCCTCAAATCAGAGGGGGGGTTCGTGTGGGCCTGCAAGAATTACGATGGCGACGTTCAGTCCGATTCTGTGGCCCAAGGTTTTGATGACGATGGCAATGATGATGACGATAATGATGATGCTGATAATTTTTTTTTATTTCATTTTTGTGGTTCAGGGTTCGGAAGTTTAGGGATGATGACCAGCGTGTTGATATGCCCCGATGGCAAAACGGTAGAAGCAGAGGCCGCCCACGGTACAGTTACCAGGCATTACAGGTTCCATCAGCAGGGCAAAGAAACATCCACTAATCCTATTGGTCGGTATTGAAATGTTCTTTAATTTTATTGGTCGGTTTTGAAGTTATGTTTAATTCTATTGATAAGTTGATTTTGAATATGAAAGATCCGTTAATTCGTTATTGTCGTTGTAAGTTGTAATTTTGGTGATGTTTGTAATGTTATACTACTCTCTCTCTCTCTCTCTCTTTCTCTCTCTCTCTCACAATCACACACACATTTTTCAGCTTCCATATTTGCCTGGACGAGGGGTTTGTTACATCGAGCTAAACTGGACGACAATTTGAAATTAGAAAAGTTTGCAATGAGTTTGGAAAGGGTGTGCGTTGAGACCATAGAATCCGGATACATGACCAAAGATTTGGCGCTCTGCATTAAGCCTATTAGCGAGTTGGTTTTGATGATGATGTTGATAGTGATGATGATGATGATGAGAATGTCGACGACGATGTTAATTCTGGGTATATGACTAAGAATTATGCGTTCGTTCTGTTTTGAGCCCCTCTACTAATTGGTGTTGATGGTGAAGATGATGTTAGTAATGTTGGGGACGACGACGATGATAATGATGATGACGACGACGATGATGATGATGATGATGATTGAGATTATGATACTGATGATGCCAATCCCGACGACCTTCGTTCTCGCAGACTCAGCAGAAAGGATTACCTAAACACTTTTGAATTCCTCGACAAACTGGCCGAAAACTTGAAAGTGAAGTTGGAAGGAAATTTATGCCATCTCTGATGATGATGATGGTGGTGGTGGCCTATTTTTTTACCTTTCTTGATCTAGTTTTTAAATGTATAATCTTCGGTTGAATTTGCTGTGCCTTCACTGCGGTAGTATGCAGTAGTATTTATCTTTATATATTCCTTGTATTATTATTATCATTGTTGTGGTTATCGTTTATGGTTATTATTATTATTGTTATTATTATAGTTGATTTTTGTTGTATTTCATTCCATACACAGTTCTTTCAGTTTATACTCAAGCCAGGATGTCATTGTTCGGCATAGCTTACATTATGGTTTAATCACAGCACAAAACACGCGCGAGCACATAATCATAATATTAATAAATAAATAAATAGTTAATAATAATAAATAATAATAATAAATAATAATAAACAATTTGTTTTTTAATGGACTTACATGTATGTTATGAAGTATTATTTTTCTCGGCGGTACTGTTAATGAAATTTTATTATTGTTGTTATTTGTTGTTATTATTATTGTTGTTATTATTATTATTCGATTGTAATGTGTTAAGTTTCGCTTTAGTTGTTTTTTCTTTGTTTTATTTTGTAGTTAAGAAAGTTTAAGACGAGTTTTTGCGTTCTTCGTTTCGATTTTATTAAAAGTGGTGGCCTCTATCAATAAACAATAATTATCATCGATAACGTCCAGAAACTATAATTAAATTAATTAATTAATTAATTAATAGATATTTAGATAGCGCATCATCTTACAGATACGAGAAAAATAAATCGTTCGAAAAAAAATTTCCAATTTCCCAACATAATTACCGCCAAACCAGCCACAGACGAAAGAACAATGACACTGACAACTGCACCACACACTCTTTCTTTCTCTCTCTCTCCCTCTCTCTCTCTCCCTCTCCCTCTCTCTCTCTCCCTCTGATAGAGCGCTTAAAAGCATTTTCTGTGGACAATTGATGGGCCTGATTCGTCGTATTCCTGCTTGCTGATCCACATCTGTTGGAAGGTGGACAGGGAGGCGAGAATGGAACCACCGATCCATACGGAGTACTTCCTCTCTGGTGGGGCGATGATCTTGATCTTCATCGTGCTTGGGGCCATAGCTGTGATCTCCTTCTGCATCCTGTCGGCAATACCTGGAGTAGTGTGGAGTAGAGTGGAGAAAAGTTACTCGGTGTTGGTGGCTTGTAGTTTTTGTTTCGTATCTTTCGTTTGGTATTGGGATGTTGTGCTTGCGGGTTCAAATCCAGCGTTGGTTAAGTAAGATATTGATATTACTCAAAAGCATCTTCGTAGCTTTTGACATTCTAATTCTTTATTGCATTGAGTTTAAAACATTCGAAATGTTTGAGGCGCGGAAATTTGAATAACTTTGGGAAAATTATCGTAAAATGTCAAAAAAGTAGTGTGAAACTAACCAGGGAACATGGTTGAACCACCGCTCATGACTGTGTTGGCATAGAGATCCTTACGGATATCGACATCGCACTTCATGATGCTGTTGAATGTGGTCTCATGGATACCAGCAGATTCCATACCCAAGAAGGCAGGCTGGAAGACGGACTCTGGGCAACGGAAACGTTCGTTTCCGATGGTGATGACCTGAAATTTTTCGAGATGGACATTTTGGATTTTTGTGAAAATTTCACAACGCACAGCGTGTCGTCGTAATCTCAACAATCAAATGCACATCGTCAATCATTGACAGAGCGACAGAAACGTCATTCTCGTTTTAGATCCATTCACGTCTTCAACCAACAGCACAAGCAAACATTTTTTAGCGCAGTTTTTTGAGTTAAAAATCGTCGAGTAACCTGTCCATCGGGCAATTCGTAGCTCTTCTCCAGGGATGATGAGGAGGCAGCAGTGGCCATCTCCTGTTCGAAGTCTAACGCCACGTAGCACAACTTCTCCTTGATGTCTCTCACGATTTCTCTCTCAGCCGTGGTCGTGAATGAGTAACCTCTTTCAGTCAAGATCTTCATGAGGTAATCAGTCAGATCTCTACCGGCGAGATCGAGACGGAGGATGGCGTGGGGAAGGGCATAACCCTCGTAGATAGGGACGGTGTGGGTGACACCATCACCGGAGTCCAGGACGATACCGGTGGTACGTCCGGAGGCATAGAGGGAGAGGACGGCCTGGATGGCTACGTACATGGCTGGCGAATTGAAGGTCTCGAACATGATCTACGAAGTAAAATTCATTAAATTTTAAAATTTTTTTAAAAGTTTATCATCAAAATTTAACACAACATTTATTTGGTTTGAATCGTTTAACAACTAATTAATTTAACCAAATTCAACAACAATTCCTCAATTGTTACCTGGGTCATTTTTTCTCTGTTGGCTTTGGGGTTGAGGGGGGCTTCGGTCAAGAGAACTGGGTGCTCCTCGGGGGCCACACGCAGTTCATTGTAAAAGGTGTGGTGCCAGATCTTCTCCATATCGTCCCAGTTTGTGACGATGCCGTGTTCAATTGGGTACTTGAGAGTTAGGATACCTCTTTTGCTCTGGGCTTCATCTCCCACGTAACTATCCTTCTGACCCATACCAACCATGACACCCTAGAAGCATTTTTGAAGGGAGCCGGGTTAATTATCACTCGGGCATACGGGGAAAATGTACATCGTTAGCGCTTTGGCAATTAAATTGACTAAATAAGACTGTAATGAAAAAAGAATCATCGTGAGCACAGACTGTTTAAAACATTAATGTAAGTTTTTCATATAAGTTGAAACCAAAGAAAATTCTAAACGACATCTAATGTTGAGGCATCTGATATCAATATTCTATTCATCTCAATTGCAATTCATCCATTTCAACTTTTCCTAATTTTTTCTCTTGATTAAAAACAACGCCAACTTAGCAAACTATTCTTTAGATTACATAATTGCGAAGTGTCATCTTTAAACAATCACAATATCCCACATCATAATCCCAATCAATTCTACCAATCAATCAAATCATTCTACAAAAACCCAATAACTTCCGCGTCCAAAATCAACCAAAAACCTAATACAGACGAACGAATGAACGAACAAACAAACCTAGCAAACACAGAACAAAACGGACAAACCTGATGACGGGGGCGACCGACAATTGATGGGAAGACGGCTCTGGGGGCGTCATCTCCGGCAAACCCGGCCTTGCACAGACCTGAACCGTTGTCAACAACTAGGGCGGTAACGTCTTCGTCGCACATTTTGGCAGAGTTTCAAAGTTTGGTTGGTGCTTCGGAGGATTGAAAGAGAGACTGTTGGGGGAAAAATGAATAAAAAATTATTTATTAATATTATAAAAACAATTATTTTTATATTATTTTAATTATTTTTATAATATATTTTATTATTATTTAGTGTTATTATTAACTTTCTTATTGCCGTGGCGTATTGCAGCCACAACAACTTGGAGAGTTTTTAATAAATCTATCGAGTTTGATCAATTTTTAGTTGGAGTTGATTTTGGATTAGTAAATATATAAAATTATGAAATTGATAAATTTTCTTATTGATTTAAAATCATTTCACTTATTCACTGAGTTACATTATTTAATTTTCTTATATCTAGTCTAGTTCAACTATATGTGAAACTGTATAACTCCAAACTAGATTTGTTTGAAAAGTTGGATCAAATTCGCGAAAGAACTAATTTAATTTAAAAATTTAATCCTTTTATTAATTAAAAACTTTTGAATAAACTTAAAATTAACTCCAAATCGACAAAAATAAAAAAAAATTAGAAAAACCACTTAAACAGACAAAATTCTAACTCGAAATTCTCGGGGAACGATAGCAGGGATTAGCTTCTAGTACCTTATATACCAGCACACAAACAACCAAACATACATACATACATTCAACATACATACATTCATACATACATACATACATACACACATACACACAAACATACAAATATACGTGTATATTTACATCAGCGTGTTTGCAATAGAGTAAGCAAGAACATCAGCAATGAACTTACAGTTCTTCAGCCGGTTGCAAAGTTATGTGTGTATGTATGTAAGTAAGTATGTACGTATGTTTTTATGTATGTATGTATGTGTGTGTGTGTGTGTGTGTGTGTGTGTGTGTGTCTGTATGTGTGTGTATGTATGTATGTTTGTACAGTGTGTGTGTGTGTGTGTGAGTATGTGTGCATGAATGTACAGTGTGTGTATGTTTGTATTCCTGCATACATGAACACATACATATGTACACATATGTATACAACAATGAATGTTTCTCCCGGACGTTTAGAATGAAGATGAAGATGATGCTATAAAGAAGCTGGAGCGAGAAGAAAAAAAATTGAAGAGATATGGATAAGTTTAAAAGTGAGGGTACGTGAACGAGGAGAAAAAACAGAAATGGAGAGAGTGAAGATGTTTAGAGAGAGAGAGAGAGAGAGAGAGAGAGAAAGAGAGAGAGAAAGAGTCAGAGTTTGTTGCGTGTATTTTGGCATGGTTCTACGTTGAATTTAATGCGATCGTTCGGCCGTTTGTGTTTGTATGTATGTATTTGTTTTTATGTTTTGCTGACTATTTGCTTGTATGTTTGTTGGTTCGTTCGTTTCTTTGTTCGCTCGTTCGTCTGTATATTTGTATGTATGTCTGTATGTATAGATGGATGGATGGATGTGTGTGTGTGTGAAAGTAAGAAGAAGAGAGAAAGAGCAAAAGAAAGAAATAGAAGAAGAGAAAGAGTGAGAGATGTGAAAGAATTTCTTATGTGGTAATAAATTTAGAAATAATTTATTTTAATTTGCCTTGGTCGACTAGCTTTGCTTTTGATAAAAAATAACAAAAATCATTATCATCAACAACAACAACAACAACGAATTTTCATGCAAATTTATCATACATAGGCTTATCTTCATCTTTCGAACTTTTTAACATGACCATATATGGTTATGATACCTGCCTTCTCTTTAAAATTAAGCTCCACAACATCATGTGTGTGTGTGTTTGCGTGTGTATGCATGTTTATGTGTGTGTATGCATCGTGTGTTTTGTGTGTGTGCGCGCGTATTACTTTATTCAACGCTCACACATACATACATCAATCAAATACATGTATATTGAAACAAACAAACATACACACACATATACAGACACACACTTACATACAGACACACATATATACGTACATACATACATACATCATACATACTTACATACATACACACACATACATACAAAGTTTTTCTTTGTTCGCACATTAAGTTGCGCAGAGCTTGTACAACAAAAACGCATAAGATGTACGCCGTTCCGCTTATTGTTGTGGAGTTGTAGGTGTACTGAAGTTTCTGTGAGTGATGCATCTCTGTGCGTGCGTGTGTGTTTGTGTGTGCGTGTATTACTATTCCTAATCTTTCTCTTTCTTTCTTTCTCTCTCTCTTCTTCTCTGTATCTCTTTCTCTCTTCTCCTCTGTATCTCTCTCTCTCTTCTCTGTATCTTCATCTGTATCTCCCTTTTTTCTATCTTCATTTCTTTTTGATTCTCTATATCCTATCTCTCGTTTTTCAACTATTTTTCTCTTCCACTTTTTTTCTCTTACTTTCTTCTTCTCTCACCTTTTTTCTTTCTTTCACTACTTTTCCTATCTCTCTCTCTCTCTCGCTCTCTCTTTCCATCTTTCGTTTTTTTTACAATTCCCATTCAATCCATCTTTTTTCTTTTTTTTCTTTCTGAATGAAATTGATCGAAAGAATGAACAAAAAAAATCTAAATGAATGAATGAAACTGAATGACTGAGTGAATAGAAACACATGGATGAATGAACTAATGGATGAACGAACTTTTCATAGAATTAGCGTTGAATTAGTTAGTTAAATTAACGGTAATAAGCTAAATAATGCGAAAAGTAATTGTCTGGCAATGATGATGATATGATGATGTCGAATTTGACATCATCATCATCATCATCGTCGTCGAGGTCATCATCATCATCATCGTCGTCATCATCATTTTTGAAATCTTACTGGCTTTCATTGTTTTAACGGTAACACGGACGGCTAATAACAATAACAATAATAATAGCAACAGACGAGCAAAATAACAAAAACATAGCATGAGCCTAATTCCATGCCCTTATATGGAAAGCGAACACGTACGTACATACACACACAAACAAACAAACACACACGCATACACACACATATATACATATTTAATACCTATAACCTACACAAACATACATACGTATAAAGATTCATACATACGCCCAAACATACATACAAACGAACATGCATACTAACATATATGCTGCTTAACTCTGATGCCACAACTATAACAACAGCGTTCGTTGCATGTTTGAAATAATTTCATTTGTGTTGGCAGCGTTTGTTGGTGATTGGTTCATTTGTTTAGCTTCTGTGAAGTGCGCGCTATAAAAATTTGCTGCTTCTGAGTTATCATCCGTCTGGTCTATCCTTTCCTTTATTCATTCACTTATGTATCAATTCACTCATTCATCCGAACTTAAATTTACCCATCCATTCATTCACTTATTCATTTGTCAATCCACCTATCCACTAATTAATTAATTTATTACTCAATAAATTAGTCTACGGAGGCAATTTAAACTAACAGATATTATTCTCTTTAATATTTTCAGCACGTTACTACATTGCAGTAATCCTATCACCAATTATTCAAACTTTAGTTTGAAGGAAAGCGCGGTTTTTTTTTTACAAATTATAGAAAATTTTGCGCTAAATCATCACTGTAGTCTTCGCAACGTATTACAATTTGTTTATTTTTCTTCAAAATGAAAGTGAAAAACCCAGAAGCAAGCTTTGTTTATCTTGTAGGTGTGACGTCATTTCAAAAGAGTACGTCAATAAATAAATAAACCAACATTGCGCCCTTTACAACGTTATTACAATAAACAAACGCGGAAACAACAGTCCTATGAAGGCTGGAAATAATAAGCCAATCGGAATCAATTGTAACAATCCAGGCTTGTAAAATCATCTTCATCACCATCAGTACTCCACCCATCATCATGATCATTATCATCATCATCATTAAACATGGCTACAGCCACAAGCTGCTTATTCCGACGCAAACGCTGCTCTTCCGGCGACTCTAAGCTCCTCAGTGCGTCTTCTAAAAGTGAATTTACACGGAAACTATTATCATTATCATCATTAGCGTCCATATTATTATTATTATTATTGCTTTCTGTGGTGGGTTTCTTTTTAGCTTGTTCGATCACTTTTTCGCAAACTTTGGCTTCCAAATTTGTTCGACGTCTCAAGATGAGAGAAAATGCTTCGTCCAGAGTTGCTTTGATTCGCGGCGGGATCATATCTGCAACTGAATACTCATGGAAGGCGCCTAAAACTTCCTTTGATTTCGCCTCGACTATGGAGTCGCAGTCGTCCAAACTTCCGATGATGGACACCAGAATGGAGTTTATAATCGGGTCGATAGGATGAACTTTCTGCAACTCTTGAACTCCGACCGTGACCTCAAAATTTCGATTCATGGGGGTAGAAAAATGGTAGCATAGGAGAGATTTTAGAAAGTTCAACACCGACACCTTAACTTCCCAGTCTAAATCGTTGCTTAAAACCTTCAGTAGACGTGTGATTAACTGGATGTGGAGATCACTCATCGGCGGTTTTGATGCTACCAAGTCAGAAGTGTCCTGGTTCGAATCCGATGGTTTTATCCTGTCTGAATGTGGTGAAATAATATAATTACAGATATAAGTGAGTGTGTGTGGCGTGTATATAAAAACGAGTGTGTGTATGCATGTACTTATGTGTTGGTGGTGTACGTGTTGTTGTATGTGTGTGTGTGTGTGTATGTACGTTTGAAGGTGCTATACATAACTGAAAAACCCATCCTAGCAATAATTATCTATTTTAGAGCAATCAATCTACACAACATTGAGTTAATCTCTAATCCAATATTTTGTTTAAATTAGGGAAAACCTGAGTGTGTCATTGACATGAGAACGTATTCGCTAATCAGGGCGACGGCCGATCTCCTAACTACGGCCTCTTCGTCGGCCAGGGATGTGCGGGCGACCTTTTCGACCAACGTCACCTACGTTTGAATTAACAGCTTTATGTTTCAAGGCACTTATATTATAAATAGGATAACAGTATTACTGACGCTGCTGCTGCTACTACTACTGCCGCTACTGTTGCAGCTACTGCTACTAATAATGAAATGAAAAACAATAATCAAAACAATGGAAACGACATCAATCAATCAATGACATCAATAACACATTAGAAAAGACAAATTACTTCAGATCAAAGTTTTTTAAAAAATAAAACAAAACACAGAACTATGTAATCGTGTCCAGCTGACTTATCGAAATTTTTATCAATTTCATGGCTTCGTAAGCACATCTTGGTCATTGTCCTTAATATTCTATCAATCAAAATGGCCAGGGCCTTAAGTCCGGAACTCCTGACGTATTCCTCTTCGTCGTTCAACGAACATTCTAACAATTTGTGAAGCTGAAATGACGTCATCGTCAAGGATAATGGTACGAAATCTGGCGACGAAAGAAAAAAAAAATAACCAAAGACAACAAAAAATTACAATTAAAATTTATCATTTATTTATTATTTATTATCGTTATCATTATCGTCACGACCATCGTCATCTTTATATCAACACCGCCATCCTCCTCATCATCATCATCATCATTCTTCTCAAGGACTCGACACTCCATCTTGTCATTTCATCATCTTTCTTATCATCATCATCATCACCATCATAATCATGACCTGACGCAAAGAGTTGGCCAACGAAGGATATCACGGAATCCCTCAGGTCCCAGATGTCGCTTCCAAGCAGTTGAATCAGGATTATTTTAATATCACCTGTGATTACATCAGCGCCGCTAATAACTATATCATCATCTATATTATTATTATTGTTATTATTGCTGTTATTATTATTGTTATTATATTTAAATTTATTATAGTGAATTGTTTCGTGTATGATTGTGAGACTGAGCGCGATGAGGATCTTCTCGAGGCACAGCAAAGACTTGTAGACTACCCTCTGGTCTCTGCTGTACCTCTGCAACAGACTCGCGATTGTATCTCTGGCTCGACTATAGACTGAGAATAATAATTATAATAGTAATTAATAATAATTAATAACAATAATAGTTAATAATAATAATTATTCATACTATCTTCAGTATTTCAATCATCGTCATGCCTACCGGACCATCAAAGTTATCACAAAACGATAATAATTTATTAATAATTATAACTTATTGATAATTATTATTTATTGATAATTATAAATTATTAATAATTACAGTTATAATAGTCGTCATCACAGTCGACAAAAAAGTCATCAACATCATCGTCGTCGTAGCAACCGGCAATATGGTGATATAAAACATCATCATCCCCACAACTAGCACACCATCACAATCATAACCATCGTCATCATCACCACCACCATAATCATTACCATCGTCATCATCACCACCATCATAATCATTACCATCACCATCATCATCGTCATCATCACAGCTAACGATTAAGTTCATTTTTAAAACAGGTCCTCTCACACTCGAATGTCCCACACAGAACGTCTAACGAGGCTAACAAGTGTTTCAAATTCACAGGAGGTTGTGATGATAATGATGAAACAGGAAGTTGTTGTGGTTGTGGTGATGATGATGACGCAACAGGAGGTTGTGATGATAATGATGAAACAGGAAGTTGTTGTTGTGGTGGTGGTGATGATGATGATGAAAACGACAAAGGCGGTGGTCTTGATAATGATGACTTACAAGCTCGCAATGATGATGGTGATATTAACGGAAAAGATGGTGACGATGATGATGGTGGCGGTAATTCTGACGATATAGGCTGTGACGATGATGATGACGTAACAGGAAGTTGTGATGATGACGAAAAACGCGGTGGTCTTGATGATGATGACGTAAAAAGTGGAGTGGATGATGATGATGTTTTTTTTTTCGGAATATGTGGTGATGATGGTGGTGGGGGAGAGTCTGATGATGGTGACGATGAAGAATTATTCTTCATCTCATCGTTTGCAAAGAAGATATTGATAAAGTTGGTGCAGAGAGTCATGATTAACTCAAGATGGTTAAATTTCTTTATCTGTGTGTGTGTGAATGTGTAGAGAGAGAGAGAGAGAGAGAGAGGAGAGAGAGAGAGAGAGAGAGAGAGAGAGAGAGAGAGAGTAAAAGAGAAAGAGTAAGAGAAAGAAATAGTTTTGTGTGCGAGCGTAAGGCAATGACGACGTTGATCAATTAATTAATCAATCAATATAATTGATAATTATTACACTTATATTTATTATTATATTAATCGAAAGTAAAAACGGAGAACAGTCCCTACCGCGTTGCTGGTGAGCCTCAAGCAGGCAAGAACCGCATCACTACTGATATTTCCACCATCATTCTCATTATTATTTGTATTTATCTTGACGCAAATATTATTTCTTTCGCTATATTTATTATTATTGTCATTACTAGTATTGTTATTATTATTAATATTATTGTTCTTATTACTATTATTATTATTGTTACAGCGACTGAAGAGGCGTTTTTGTGCCGCAAGTGTCGTGGCTGCTTTAGCCATCAGAGTCGTCAGTGGACTTAGGAGGTAATGTTGGAGGTCGATATACTGACCAAAGTCACTGGGGAGAAAAAGATACATACATAACACATACACGCGCGCACACCACATGAATATATATATATACACACACCAACATACGCATACCACACAAAAAACACCACACACACACACACATGTATATACACACACACACCAACACACGCACACCGCACAAAAAACACCACACACACACACACACCTTCTTCTTAATACACACACACACACACACACGCACACCTTTTTTCAATACACACACACATACAGACACACACACACACACACACCTTCTTTTCAATAGCCAAGAGCACAATATCATCGCCTTATGCTTCCTACCACTACCACCATCCTCATCCTTTCTACCACAACCATTTGTGTTACGGCGACCAATCCCCTCTCGGAAGCCGCCAAAGTTGACGTGTGTGTGTATGTGGTGTATATCACCATCATCACCACTCCTACTTTCACCACCATCGTCATTATTTATTAATTGAGTAATTAATTTTATAATTAACTGTAGCGTATCTTGCTCCGGCTGAGGTGATTTTACAGTTATATCCAGGTAGCTACATATTGGAAAGATGTCATTTTTTTAAATTATAAATTATTATTTAGATTAAGAAAATAATAATAATTATTATTAATGTTAAGAAAATAATGATAATAACAATAATAATAATAATTATTATTATTAGTATTATAGTACCAAAAATACTGAATAACAAAACCAACGGACTTAAAAATGTCATCAATGTTTTCTGGTTTCATCTGTAGAAGTTATGGAAAAAAAAATTAAAATAAAATAAAAAAAAATTTTTTTTTTGAAGAACGAGTGTTAGAAAGTAGAAATATAATCAATAGGTCATTTTCATTCATGCAAAAAAACTAATTCAAGTTGTAAGCATAGAAAGATCTGTTCCCTTACATTCTTTATAACTTCTAATGAAGCGCTACAGAAATTAAATTTTTGCAAAATAAGGTTATCCTTGCTGTTCGGGCAGTCATAAATGATATCTAGTAACTCCATAGCTGCCTGTACATCGCTATAACCTGAGACCCCCGTAACTAAACCTGAATTAATGTGCGCCAGTAAACTCTCAAGTAGTCGATCATTGTTAGCCTTGTTAGTCTTGTCCCCGGAAGATGAAATTAAAATAGGGATGTACTGTTTTAAGAGCTGTGCGGCCTGTCGACGAACGAAATGTCTGTCGGCTTTAAAGAGAACAATGCATTTGTCGAATGTTTCTGAAAAAACAATTTCATTAACTGCTATTATTATATCTTTTATTATTCTTTCAAATTATAACAATTTCATCATAAAATAAAAAAGAATATTAATGGCAACAACAAAAACTACAACAACAACAATAATAATATTATTATTATATTAATATAGAATTATTATAAATATATAATTATTATTATCATTAAGATAACCTATATTAAAAGTGAAGTTAGGATGCCGACAGATTGCCTCCAGGCCTTGTAGCCAGCCACAGGTGATAGTCGAACAACCACAAAAGTAGGTACGTTTGATAAAGTCAAATATTCTATTAGCAACATCTATACTAGTTTTTTGCCCATTGGCAACATTCCAACTACTGTTACTAATACTATTATTGTTGTTAGTATTCCCACTGCTGCTGTCATTACCACTACCAGTACTACAACTACTACTATCACTGCTACTACCACCACTACTGCTAATACTACTACTATTACCACAGCTTTGCCCAAGTAACTGTAGCAAGAAGCTAATTATTGATGGCTGTAGATTTTTCACCATTTGATCCGGGTCTAGGTATTTGAAAACGTCAATTATCTCGTCTGCCACATCTCCTGTTATTGCCGGGAGGTTTTAAATTAATTTAAAATATTAACTTAACACATCAACTGATTAACTGATATGAAATTTTTTGATTGGGAACTGCTAGAACGTGAAATTTCAAAATCTTGTCTAGCAGTTAGTTATTTATCTTTTATTGTGAAGCACAATTATTTTATTATTTAGTTATTGGTACTCTAATTTACTATCCTAACTTACTGGAGAAAATGATATAAAATATTAAAATGTGCAGAACAAACACACAAAGCAAAACAATGGAAAAAATTAAAAACCAATTGCTCTGACAATGTTAATTGTATCTAAAAACTCACTTCTAGTTAGAAAATAATTAGGCAATATAGTTAGAAGGTTTTGTAGTAGGGTGTCATCTTTAGGAAGGTGATTGTTTAGCAATAACTTAACGAGGTCCAACAATTTAGAACCCGACATTGTTTCACTTTCTGAAATTAAAATCAGTAAAAGTAGACCAGGCAAACACCGAGCTATCAGCTAAAAGTAAATTCGATAATAAAACACTTAAACCTACAAATTAAAGCAATTTAATCAAAATACGAAACAAATAAACCCATTTTTATTAGAAAATATATTTAATAAATGAATATATTTTTCAACAATGCATCTATCTAATCAAAAATTCATTACTACCTGTATAAAAGGCTTTGAAACACAGAACAGCCTTACATGCGATTTATAGTGTTACCTATTAAAAATTAAATTAATCAATTTAAAATAAATAAATAAATAAATGTAAAGTTGAAATGTTATATGTAATGTAAATGCTATATTTATTATTTATTTTTTTCATATATAAATTTTTTTTATTTAAATCGTTTTTTAATCTAAAAAAAATGTCACAAACTAAAAAATTTAAATTGCAAGTTTTTTTCAAAATTTGTTAAATAGTTGTCAAACTCAAACTGTAAAAACTAATCAATTTGTTCCTAATTGCTGATTAACTCTTAATCATTTTTTCGGACTGACATTTCTAAATAAATCTTAATATTTAAGTGAAAAATAATTAATGGATGATTTGCTTGGTCTTGCTCAGAGATAACTATTCTATTATTATTAGTATTAAATTAAAAATTAAATTATTAATTAATAAATCTTATTAATTAATTAATTTAAATTAGAATTTAAAAATTGAAAGAAAATACAAAAATCCAGAAAAATGTACAGCGATTGGGCCTCACTAATCCCTGAAATTCAGTTAGACGTCAGCAACCAAAGTGTACTTTCCTGCTTCAATCAGAGCACCAGCAAGGAGGTTGTTAATGGAGTCGTTAGGAACCTCTGTGCCAACATGAACAGGTGGGGGCATTATGGAATTAATGTTATTATTATTTTATCCATTGTTGTTATAATTATTATATTATTGTTGTTGTTGTAATTAATAATATTATTTTTACATATATTTGGTGAAATCAAACATAATTCTCGCCCACACCTTACTATACCATGTGAATATATATATATATATATATATATATATATATATATATATATATATATATATATATATATAAATTAAATAAAAATTGACAAGTTTCTTTTGATTGGTTGATTGATAGGTGCCAAGATGACCTAGAGCCGAACTGCTTGACTAGGGATTCTGATGTCATCTGGACTATGCAGGTCAGCAGCTGAAAATTGCATTATTTAATACCTATTTAACATTGGATGGCATGTAAGGGCATCACATACAATTTTTATGATGTGATCATTTGCATATATGTATATATACAAATTTTACATGCATTGTGTTGGTGTTGTTGATTATTTTGAGAAATTATGAGGAGAAATAGTTGTTAAAAAGAAAATTAATTTCTAAAACAACAAAACAAAAAGATGATCTGAAAAAGAATATGCCATCAATCTTTTCTCCTAATTTTAGTATATCATTAAAATAGTAGGGGCTTATTGTCCTAGATTACCCAACTAAATTAATTAATCATTTATAATTTATAATAAAATAATGAAACAGATTTTATGCCATGGACTAACCCTACCACCTAGCGAACGAGAAACTCTCTCAGACTGTGTGAACATATATTGTGACTGGCTACATTGCATAGTCGAGCCTAATAAAGTCCTGCCTAAACCACTAAATGATGACCCAAATAGATATTTTAGGGATGTGCTGAGTCATTCTGTTAATTTGTTCAAGCCTCGGGCTGATGCTAGTGGGTTTTGAAGTTTTTATTTTTTTTTATTTCTCTATTTTTTCAACATTTTTATTCTTTTGGTTTTAATTTAACTAAAAATAACATTAGTGTTATTTTAAATAACGCTGTGCTTGTTTTCAACGTTAGTTATATTGCTATTTGTTTTGCTCATTCATTCATTTGTTCATTCATTCTATTCATTCATTCATTCATTCATTCATTCATTCATTCATTCATTTATCTTTTCATTCATTCAACCATTCATTCACTGATTCACAAACTCACTGACTCAATCAATCATTTTATTTATTTACTAATTTTTTTATTCAAACATTCATTCTTTGCTCTATTCCTCCATCCACCCATTCATTTATTCATCCACCCATTCATTCATCCATCCATCCGCCCATTTATTCAACCACTCATTCATCCATTCATTGATCCATTCAGTCATTCAATCATGCACTCACTCATTCATTCAGGTCTAGAGTTTGTGAAGAGGCACGTCATGATGTGCAAGAAATTTTTGAAAACCCTGAAGACTGTGATACAGAAGGCCAACAACAAGAATCACAACAACAACAATAAAAATAAAAATAATAATAATAATAGTAGTAGTAGTAGTAGTTGTTGTAATGGTATCACATCTGAGACTTGGGCTCATACTCTTAAGTTCTTACTGACCATTGGAGATGCTCTACTCAGCCCACCAACGGAAATAGGTCTGATGATGATGATGATTGTGTTGATGATGGTGATGCTGATGGTAATGATGATGAAGATGATGATGATGATGATGATGGTGATGATGAAGATGATGACAGTTAAGGACTATAACAATATGAACGATGACATACTAAGGTGCAAATGTACAAACGAACTAACGAAAACAACAACAAACAAACAAACATACACATATACATACAAACAAACAAACATACAAACAAGCATAGAAGCAAACATACAAACAAACTTACAAAAATAACTTCAGACTGTTTAGGCTCTCAGTTATGTGATCAAATGATTTGCGTGCTATTTGAATTGTGGTTGCTCTCCTGCTCTCAAGGGCATTTCCCGACTCCATCTCTATGGAAAACCATGCATGAAATTTGTCTTGGTTGGTTTGTCTTTGTCTTTGTTGCTGTTGTTGTTTTGTTGTGTGTGTGTGTGTATGTGTTGTGTCTATATCCAGTGCACAAACAACAAACACAAGAAACAAGCATACTTACAAACATACATACAAATACACACGCATACATACACACACACACACATACATACATACATACAAACATACATACAAATCTACATACTTATATACATACATACATACATACATACATACATACATACATACATACATTGGCCATTGGCTTCAGACTTGGCCTGGTCATTCAGAATAAATACACGTGCCGATGTGGCGCTGGGGCGGACGAGTTTGGGCACCACGGTTTGGTTTGTCGCCTGGGTGGGGGCCGTCAACTACATCACTCAGCGCTAAACGATTACATTTGTCGGCTCTTCTCCAAGGCTTCAATCCCGGTTCTCAAGGAACCATCCGGCGTAGGGGCGCCATGGTAGGCGCCCGGACCATGGTAGGCGCCCGGACGGATGCACGCTAATACCTTGGAGAGCCGGCAGATGTTTGGCGTGGGATGTTACGGTCCCTGGCACCCTCGCCGAACGATACGTAAACCTGACAAGTAAAGAATGCGGTTTGGCCGCGGCCAGGGCAGCGGACGAGAAAATGAAAAAAAAATATGGGAACGCCCTCCCCTCGATGGAATTCTTGCCAATATGCATCGAGGTTCTTGGCCCGATGGACCCCAACACCCTTAAATTTCTTAAGGAAATATGCAAAATGATCAGCGTCAGATCAGGTGACAGCAGGGAACTGTTTTTTGCAACCAACCACATTTCGTGCTTGTTGCAGCGGTTCCTGCGTGTCTGTGTGCTTGAAAATATCCAACTGAATGCCGACATGTGCAATTAACGACAAATCAAAGTGTTAATCCATTTGTTACTTGGTGTTGGACGGTTCAGTGTCACTCATCATGTTTTGGTTTTAACATACATACATACATACATACATTACATACATACATACATACATACATACATACATACATACATACATACATACATACATACATACATACATACATACATACATACATACATACATACATACATATATCTTGTTTGCTGCAAAGGTTTTTGCGCGACTGTGTTACCGAAAATGTTCAATTAAACGCCGACGTGAGCGAATAACGAGATATCAATTGTTAACCGATTTTTTCAGATGTTTGACTGTTTAGTGTCACTCATCGCTGATTTGGTTTTAACATACATACATACATACAGACATACAGACAAACATAAATACAAACGTACATACAAATCTACATACATACACACAAACATACATGCAAACATACATACATGCTTGTTAGGTTGGCGTCACCACGAAGCCTTAGTAACTCAATGGCATAGAGTTAATTCAGCGTTAACTATCAAGCTATTGAAGATTTTGTATGGTAGTTTTGATCAGTCAAGGAATTTTCAGAATTGTATGTTTTTTTTGTATGCTTGAATGTTTGTTTTTCTTGTTAGTTTGTATTTTTTGTATGTTTGTCTGTATTTTTATGGTTGCATGCGTATTTAGTTTGATTCAACGTTTTTAATTCTCATAAAAATATTTTGATTATGTCTTTTTAAGTGTTTGCATATATCTTTGTATGTATATTTTTTCTGATTGTTTTGCTTGTATGTTTGCTTGTATGTATGTATTGTTTGTTTTTTTGTTTGTACGTATATGTATACGTATATGTATTTTCGTTTGTTTTTTAGTTTTTTGTACTTTATTGGTGATAATCCTAACCCCCCCTCCCCACACACACGAAAACACACACGCAAACAAACACACATACATATATACACATAAAACATCCACATCCACACACACACACATTTATACACATAAAACCTCCACACGTCACAGATGAAGAAGATGAGTCCCTTCCAATAGCGAGCATGTCCAACGACACTGTAATCCAATGCTGGTACCGATTTCTCCGCCTGATCGGTAATCCGGTCGATTTCAGCCGGCCGCGGGTCATTAGTAACACCCAGAGGTTCCTCCACGTGGCACTATCGAGTACCGACGTGGTTGAGCCGCACCAACTGGACTGTCTTAAACAGCTGCCGGTCATTTTCTTCAAGGCCATGAAGGCCGTTTCATTCATTGCCGATGCTTTTCTCGGTTGGTTGGTTGGCTGGTTGGTTGGTTGGTTGGTTGGCTGGTTGGTTGGTTGGTTTGTTTGTTTGTTGGTTGGTTGGCTGGTTGGCTGGCTGGTTGGTTGGTTGGTTGGCTGGTTGGTTGGCTGGTTGGTTGGTTGGTTGGCTGGTTGGCTGGTTGGTTGGTTGGTTTGTTGAGATTTTAAAATGTGTTTTAAATTTTTGAAGTGTTTATTGCAAAAAATCAAACAAAATAAGACAAATTTGTTTCTTTAGGAATGAGCCACAAAGAACCGGTCGATTTTGATTGGCTCCTGTCAGTCATCAACACCAGCCAATCAAACGAGCCGCCCGCCGTAACTCCGCCTCCGGTCAGGAAGCAAAAAGTTACTTTCCTACCTTACATGGTTAAAGGTGGATTTAAGTTTTAATGGAATTTCAATTTTGAAAAAAATATTTGTCTCGGTAATCAAACATGTTGTTGTTTGTAGTAGTAGTAATGTAATAACTAAATAAATATATTGTGTTACACACACACCCCCCCACACACACACGCACACACACACAAACGCATACACGAACAACACACTCGCTCACACACAAACAAACAAACATACAGTCAAAGACATGGCACCAAGATTAAGTCTAACTGAAACAACGACAGCGTCAACAACAACCACAACAACAACAACAACAACAACAACGTCATCGGAAAACACCACGACGATGACGTCATCGTCTCATTATTCTTTGTTATCAATTTATCGCCCCCGGGTTAATAGCTTGATGAATTTATTGGGGGAGTGGCTGTTGGATGCCTCCCTAGTCAGGGTCAAAGTGCATGGGTCGAATTATAAAGGTCAGGGCTTTTATTATTATTGTTATTATTATTATTATTTATTACTTACTCTTATTACTTACTCTTATTATTACTATTACTGTATGTTGTAGTATTAGTTGTTGTTATTTTTATAAGCCAGCCAGCCAACCAACCAACCAACCAACCAACCAATCGGCAAACGACATATTAATAAAGAACAGATATTACAACCACACATACAAACACTAAAAAAATGTTTCCATTTTTTTTTTCATTTTTAAAGTACCAGACGACGAAGACTGGCCCCCTCAAACATCGCCACCATCCTCATCAGCGTCATCACTAATTACTAACCCACTTAACCCTAACGAGGCTGGGAGGGCTCAAGCTTGCGGAACCCTCTGTAAAATTTTTTGCTCCGTAAAGACCAATGAGAATATATTACCGGTTTACATCTCAAGGTTTTACGCTGCTATGTATTACGGACTGTCTGTGAATACGCCTTCTCAGGTCGGTATTTTGCGCTGTCTTTTGTATTTTGTGTTGTATTTTTTGTATTTTGGGTTGTAATTTTTGTATGTTTTTATTTGTATATCTTTGTATTGTTTGTTGTGAATAGTTACTGAAAGACTGATATGTTTGTTTATTGTCTTACTGAAAAGTTGGTTGATTTTGTACTTAGATAGATTGACTATTGATTAATTGACTGACTGATTAATAAATTAATCGATTATTGATTAATTAACTGATTGATTCAAGAATCGTTGATGCATTCCTTCATTCATTTATACATTCATTCATGCATTCATTCATGCATCCATTCATTCATTTAACAGCAACCGCAAACATCGGGGATTACACATCCGTCCATCGTCATTCCTCCTGTACTAATAAGTATTCTACTGAATTCTACAGACCTCTTAAAAGTCTGCCTATATGTGTATTTATTTGTATACATACATACATACAAACATACAAACAAACAAACAAACAAACGAACATACACATGTTCGCACATACAGACAGTCACATACACACACACATACAGACACATACAAACACAAATATATACACATACACACACACAGACACACACAGACACATACAAACACACACACATACACACACAAACATACACACACGCACACACACACACATACAGGTAGATTTAATGGGAGTCGAAGTTTTGTTACCCCAGCTTTTGAGAGCTATAGAATTTCTTCAACCTAGATACAGGTATGGTGGTGGGGACGATGAATTTTTTTCCATTGTTTTTTTATCATCATCATCACCGTAATCATCATCATCATCATCATTATCTTCGCCTTAAATTCCATCATTATCGTCATCGTCATTACCATCATCATCATCACCATCGTCATCATCATCATCATCACCAGATACAAGCACGACAATGTTGATGATGATGTTGAATTGAGATCTGCGGTTATACAATCTCTACTCGGCATCATCTGCCTGCCGCTACACTTTAAACATTTGACTATCAAACGTATGTGTGTGTCTGTGTGGGTCTCTGTGTGTGTGTCTGTGTGCTTGTTTGTTTGTGGTTGTGTGCGTTTGTAAGTGTGTGTGTGTTTACTCGATAGTGTGTGTGTTTGTAAGTGTGTTTGTGTAGGTGTGTTTGTTTGTAGGTGTGTAGGTGTGTTTAGCAGAAAACTAGAAACATAATTTGTATTTTCTGTTATGGTGGCCATGCTCGATGAATTCCAATAAGAATTCTATCATGGTCAGTCCGTTTTTTATCATTAAATTCTTTTTTAATTTTATGGAGCAAATAAAATTTCCTTTCGTTTCGTTTCGTTTGTTTGTGGGTGTGTGTGTGTGTGTTCGTATGTGTGTGTGTTTGTTTGATAGTGTGTGTGTGTTTGTAAGTGTGTTTGTAGGTGTGTGTGTGTTTTTAGGTGTGTGTGTGCCGACAATCAATCAATTAATCAGCCAATCAATCAATTAATCAAAATCAACCAATCAATCAATTAGTCAACCAACCAATCAATCAATCAACCGCAATCCACTATATAAATTACCTATTGACCAGTCAATCAACCAACTAATCAATCAGCTATATAAATAACCTATTTACCAATCAATCAATCAACCAATCAGCTATATAAATAACCTATTAACCAATCAATCAATCAACCAATCAACCAATCAGCTATATAAATAACCTATTAACCAATCAATCAACCAACCAATCAATCAATCAATCAACCAACCAATCAGCTATCTTAGATGATCTTCAACAGCAGCAACAACCGCTAACATTTCTGATGTTGTTGGACAGGATATCGACTTTGCTATTGACCATGCTTCAAAAGGAAGTGGATCCTTGTAACAACCAGCTGCTGCTAGGTTCGCTCTTTCATTCGTTCGTTCATTCATTCATTTGTTCGTTCATTCGTTTGTTCGTTTGTTCATTCATTCATTCATTCGTTCGTTCATTTGTTCATTCATTCATTCGTTCGTTCTTTCGTTCAGGTGGTGTAGCACTCTTTATAATGGACATGGCTCTACACTATAACACATCGCATACTGGTTTGTTTATTTGTTTGTATTTTTGTATGTACACTATACACACACACTACACACATTACACACTGCACACACACACACACACACACACACACACACACACACAGAAAGACACACACTCACTCAAACTCAAAAACACACAAACACAGAATGCCACAGATTATTCGAGATTTACCTAAAAGGGATATCCCTAATTTGCGAGCGCCTAATCAACAATTGGTCATCTGACTTGTCATGCTCACTGGCCTGTATGGAGGTCCTTCAGTCGCTTGCTCGTATGGAAGTTTTGAAATCAAGGTTTGTAAACTTAGTGGTTTGTATGTATGTATGTATGTATGTATGTATGTATGTATGTATGTATGTATGTATGTATGTATGTATGTATGTATGTATGTATGTATGTATGTATGTATGTATGTATGTATGTATGTATGTATGTATGTATGTATGTATGTATGTATGTATGTATGTATGTATGTATGTATGTATGTATGTATGTATGTATGTATGTATGTATGTATGTATGTATGTATGTATGTATGTATGTATGTATGTATGTATGTATGTATGTATGTATGTATGTATGTATGTATGTATGTATGTATGTATGTATGTATGTATGTATGTATGTATGTATGTATGTATGTATGTATGTATGTATGTATGTATGTATGTATGTATGTATGTATGTATACATGATAACTTGATCATAGTCATCCTGTCTTCTATTCTTTTTTTGTTAATGTTTTAGAAGCAAATAAATAAGTATCGTATAGTATCGTATCGTATCGTATGTATGTATGTACGTAGGTTTGTTCGTTTTGTATATGGGATTGTTTGTTTATTTGTTTGTTCGTATTGTATATGGGTTTGTATGTTTATTTGTTTGTATGTGGATCCTTTTGTCTGCATTGTGTGTCAGTACCTATGTATGCATGCTCGCTCATCTAGGGCCGGCGCTGATGATGATCGTCGTGCCAGAAGCGATCGAGTGAGAAGCGCCACAGACGGTGGTGGTAGTCGCCGCAAAAACGACGACGACGGCGACAGTAGTAGTAGTGGCGCTAATGATAATAGTAATAATAAGGGTGATGATGATAATAATAATGATGACATGAACTCCTTGAATGATGGTTTGCTGGAGGCGGCTTCTAAAAAGATTGTTGTTATGATTAGCAACTTCATTGTCCTCCAGTGTAATAAGCCTTCGCCTTATCATTCTAAGGTTTGTTTGTTTGTGTGTGTGTGTGTGTTTGCTTGTTTGGTTGTTTGTTTGTTTGTGGGTTCGCTTGCTTGGCTGTTTGTTTGTGTGTGTGGGTATGATGTTTGTTTGTTTGTGTACGTGTTTGTGTTTGTGTGTTTGTTTGTTTGATTCATTGATTTTAGGTGTGTATGTTTGTTTGTTTTTTTGTTTGTATGTGTGTGTATGTAAACTTTCTTTAGACACCTACTTTCTTTGTGTGTTAACATACACACACTTACCCACAAACATATAAACATACATACCCACAAACAAACATGCAAA